TTATTGACACTGATTAGACAGGTGAGTTTATACTGATATTTATTGACACTGATGAGACAANCTGATATTTATTGACACTGATTAGACAGGTGAGTTTATACTGATATTTATTGACACTGATCAGACGGGTGAGTTTATACTGATATTTATTGAACCTGATCAGACATGTGAGTTTATACAGGTATTTATTGACTCTGTTCAGACAGTTGAGGTTATACTGATATTTATTGACACTGATTAGACAGGTGAGTTTATACTGATATTTATTGACACTGATTAGACAGGTGAGTTTATACAGGTATTTATTGAACCTGATCAGACAGGTGAGTTTATACAGGTATTTATTGACTCTGTTCAGACAGATGAGTACACAGAGGTTTTTAATCTATCTTGACCAGCATCACCCATTCAGATACAAGTATATCATATACAGTTAATCTAATAACAATGGGTGATTTGTTTACGCAAGTTTCCTGTACAGTGATATACTTACCAGACTTGCTCTATTGAAGAGGCCATCTCGATCACAATGCTGGGCTGTCTGGTTTATGATTTTTTTATACACTGGAGTGACATTCTGTAAAATACCACATAGTTATATCAGTCACATTCTACACCTACACCAACTACTTATATCACCTACACATTCAGGATGTCAGCCATTCTATTTCTAGAACTGCAAACCTGAAGCATATCTTTTTTTCATGCCAATTTCAGGTCAAATTGACCTGAAAAGAATTTCATATCAAATTCAGGTTGATTTCAAGTCAGATTGAGGTCAATGTTTGCCTTGAAATTGACTGTTTTGTTCTTGACCTGAAAATTGACCTGAATTTGACATCAAGATATATTTGGCTATGTAAAGATTAATAACCATTGATATGGCTGAACAAAAATTGGAAAACTAAAGGCCCAAAGGCCTTGAATCGCTCACCTAACTATTTGAAAATAAAGTAAAAAATTGACTGTTCAGTAGTTTGGTAAGAGAGGATGATGAATGGAAGGCGTCTTCATTTTTATATCTTTTAAACCCACTGGGCTAAAAGGAAGTTGAGTACTACATTGGAGTATGAAAGTACCCAGTAATTAGAAAACATGTGTCACTTAACGTAAGTCAACCAATCCGATCACGCCAGTGAATACTGATATACACAAGTAGGTACAGCTAGTCATCAGGAAGTTCACAGTAATTGTACTGCTCAAACTAAAAATGTTAACATTGGATGAAACAATAACATAAACATGAAAGTTGATCAGGACCAATAAATTTCTTATCACCACGCAGATAAATATTATTTCCTCATTGAAGTAAATTACTAAATCCTTTCAGCGAATTATCAGTTAATCCCTTTTTCATTGAATTATAACAGAATGATATTTCAAATAAATCGATAGGTTTTATAGAAACTAATAATTTTAACCCATTCACCCCTAAAGTCACAGACTGGGCAAGTCCAGTTTAAATATGCAGGGGTCAATAAGTTAAAACTCCTTTGGCCTGAGTCTAATTGATTTCAGCCAAGAACTATTGAACCACATTACCTAACTGATCAATTTGACATGTTAACTCATGCATCCCCACATACTTGAACTGGACTTGCCCAGTCTCTGATTTGGTAAGGTTCAAATGTGATTTTAGGGGTGAATGGGTTAATGTCAAAATTATATAATTTGACTGAGAGATATGAAAGCATATTTCTTTTCCAATTAAACAAGATACCAAGAGGGCTCAGTAATTGTCCAGTCTCTGATGTCAGAGTTGGTACCCAGCTGGTGCTGACCTCATGCTGACCTCCAGCTGATGCTGTGACCCCTGGAGTCAAATTTAGCAAGATTTATGGCCAGTTAACCTAGTCGTATAGGGGTAGAATTTTAGCAGGATTTCAGCAGCATCAACAATTTTAATGTAGCAGGATTTTGCTAAGGGACAGATAGTAAGATAGTTCAGCTTGGGAGTCAAAGGAGGAGAAGAGAGAGTTGGGTCTGGGAGTTGAGTTAAGGAGTCTTGAGGAAGGAGGTTGAGTTGGGGATCAAAGACAGAGTTCAGAGGTCTAGAGATATAGATGAGAGTTAGCTATAGAAAGTCAGAGTTAAAGTGAGAATTAGGATTGGAAGTTAGTAATAATGAACTTGTTTGTAAATATAGTGTAAATATAAATGTACTTATTTTGTTGTTCAATTAATTTAAACTCGGGTGGCAGTGGAAATTGAGAACAGAAAGCATCAGCTACTGATACAAAAGAGAATTGTAACACTGGTGACCATCAGTGGAGTTTGGATTACTAAAACCTAGTTAAGAGATGCAGGATTTCAGCAGCATCACAAGAGCCCCAAGGGCCTTAGCGGTCACCTGAGTTATATCATAGGTACTGGTAGCTTTATTTTATTGTTTAGATGTGATGTGGAAATCAGCATGTAAATTAAGTGAAATACAATACTAATGTCATGTCATCAAAGGATGAGAATTTTAAAATGTTTGGTTAATTTTCCCTTTAGGCCCCGCCCTGGCCCCAAGGGTTGGGGTAGGAATTTCAATTTTACAATTTAAAACTATCTTCCTCCAAGGATAATTCTCACCAAGTAAAAATAATTTCCTACAGAAAATTGTCAAAATATACCCAAAAGTGTTATTTCCCTATATAAACTATAGTAAACTTTATCCACTCCCCAAGGGAGAACAGATAGTTCGGGGGTTCTGAAATTTACAATTTCAATAAAGCCCCTGATGATTTTTTCTTTCTATGCAGAGAAAATGACTATTATGCCTCTGAGTCTGGGGTAGAAGATTTTTGACATATTGGTTAATTTTCCCTTCGGGGCCCCGCCCTGGCCCCAGGGTCTGGGGGAGGAATCTCAATTTTACAATTTAAAACCATCTTCCTCCAAGGATAATTCTCACCAAGTAAAAATTATTTCCTACAGAAAATTGTCAAAATATACCCAAACGTGTTATTTCCCTATATAAACTATAGTAAACGTTATCCACTCCCCAAGGGAGAACAGATAGCTCGGGGGTTCTGAAATTTACCATTTAAATAAAGCCCCTGATGACTTTTTCGTTCAATGCAGAGAAAATGACTATTGTACCTCTGATTCTGGAATAGATTTTTGAAATATTGGTTAATTTTCCCTTCGGGGCCCCGCCCTGGCCCCAGGGGTTGGGGGAGGAATCTCAATGTTACAATTTGAAACTATCTTCCTCCAAGGATAATTCTCACCAAGTAAAAATAATTTCCTACAGAAAATTGTCAAAATATCCCCAAAAGTGTTATTTCCCTATATAAACTATAGTAAACTTTACCCCCTACCCAAGGGAGAACGGATAGCCCGGGGGTTCTGAAATTTACAATTTAAATAAAGCCCCTGATGATTTTTTCTTTCAATGCAGAGAAAATGACTATTATACCTCTGAGTCTGGGGTAGAAGATTTTTGAAATATTGGTTAATTTTCCCTTTGGGGCCCCGCCCTGGCCCCAGGGGTTGGGGTAGGAATCCCAATATTACAATTTTGTAGCCTCATCTACTAATTGAAAGGATGATTCTGACTGGTTCTTGAGAAGAAGTTGAAAATGTAAAAAGTTTACGCATGACGGACGTCGACGGACGGAAAGTGATTAGAATAGGTCACTTGAGCAAAGCTTAGGTGACCTAAAAACTATATATTTGGTGCCATTCATACTTTATTAAAACAATTACCATATTTTTAACATTCACAGAGGTAATCAGGAAATTTTCTTCACCAGAAAAATAAATAAAATAAAAAAAACAAAATAAAATGTTTTTCCTACCTACCTACCCTATTTGTTTTGGAGCCGAAACAGGAAACACTCATATATTTGTATTAGGCCTAATTGTCAACAAGCATGGGGCCAATCCTAGTACTTTGGGTTTTTATATAGAAATATAAAATTCCTAACAAAGAAAAAGATCCTTACTTGCCTACCTACCCACTGAATATAATATGAGTATGGAAACTGCAGACAAATGTATTTAAGGATAGTCTCTGACATTGCGACTGACATCAGTAGCACATGGTACGTGTATAGTCTAAATGATGTTATTTACGCTGGTTCTTAAAAATCAGCATGTACTTGTTTTTAAACCTTTCAAAAGGCAGGTTGTTAACGTCCTTCACTAAAACCTGTTTTGAAACAGGAAAGTTTATGACATAATAAAGCCTAATTGAGGAAGTACATTATAACCAGCCCAGATAAGTGTTTTACTTTGTATTGAACAGGAACTTGAGGTTTCCAAATTTTCCGCTCCATAAAGCACATCGTTGACCTCAAACTGTTCTTAAAAGTATAACTTGTACATAAAAGTAAACATTTCTTTATTGTCTGATGATGATATTCATATTACATGTAAGGTTTAAAATACTTCCTTTTTCTATAAAATGTAGATGATATATGTCTCTATAAAGTGCATTTAAACAACATTAAAAATATTATAAAAAAAAAAAACCAAGTTAAACTTGTCAAATATGATATATATCAATAACAGAATTATCGTAAACACCAATCCAAGTATTATTAATGTAGCATAGGCATTACTCATTTTCTGTTCTCTTGGAATCATATATTGATCATCATGGTAACGTAATGGAAAACGAAAGTTAAATTAATTATATGATAAAACAACATATTAAACAATCAAATCTGTTTGAATTGACTTGTTATTTGCAGAACTGACTTGCAATTATATAGTTCCAACCTGAAATAAAAGTGATATTTTATAAAACTATTAAATATCATCAATATAAAAACTTAAAAAAGACAAACTTTTCCCACTGTCCGATTAGGCCACCCCGGTATAAAATCACGATTCGTTTCAATAAAAGCATACTAAGTTTTTAAACATTTAAGCAAAACGATACCTCACGATGCTGTCGCTGCTATTCTGTCCGAGATCCAAAGTTCCATGTTGCAACACTTCCATGGAAATCCTGACTTCCTACGTTCCTCGATCCTAACTGGAAATTTCACAGCTAATAAAAAGTCTAACGCAAAGCGATATAAACGACCGAGTTGTTCCGAAATTAACTTGGAGAAACCCACGAGCACCTGTCAAGCTGGGATTGTTTTAACGCATATTATGACAATTATTTACAGTCAGGTAGGCGTACATGTAATCACATTGATAGCTAATATGAACAAGATGATTACACTCCGTTTTTGTCGATGCTATATTCGAACGTAGCTTTATTAACAATTTGTATAAGAGGCGCATTAAGCGCAGCGCAAATTTCATGGGCAGAATATCCCCTTTCGCTTTTCAAGGATGTGTTGACGAGGAATAGGTTGCTCCGGTCCTGATAGGTTATATCTATAAAATGAAATGTCCCAATGTTCAGGAGAAACGTGTAGCTAGGTGACACTTCAGGTCTATGACTAATTATGTTAGGTCGATATATATAGGTAAGAGATAGCGGAAAGAGTCGTCTCCCCTTTTTACAGTCGGTTCACTAGTCTAGCTTCACTAGGCTAACGGTACCAAAGACTTGACAATATACTTAAAATAAGATATTAAAAAGTCATTTTCATTTACATTAGAGATGTTCATAATTATAATCAGTGAATTTAATTTCTGTGTGTTTACATTCACTTTCAATTTGAAAAGTAATTAAAATGTACTACAGGGTTCATTTAGAGTAAGTAATAAATTTAATGTTATATTGATTGCCAGTTCCATTAAGGTGATATTATAAAAAGTGGAGTGACATTATCTTCTTTTCAATAATAATTAATGTCATTCAACTACAACAAAATGAACACACATTCACATGAAAGTTTTCTCTTATCATATCAGAAGAAAATGGATGGGGGAGGGATTCATTTTAAAATGATAATAAAAACATGAAAGTAATTTTAAACATTATTTATATATATCTTAAATACAGTAAAAAATCTTCCTAATACATTCAGTAAATATCCCCGTCAAAAAAAATAGGTTCTGTTAGATTTGGTAAGTTTTGTTATTTAATATTTAACGGAGAGATGTTATCTTCAGTTCTGATACATTACTCCAGGAAAACTGATATAAACTGGGCAGAAAAATTGACAGAACAATAATAATGATGCAGCAAAAATGAAATGAATACACAAACAACCCAATAATATACACAAAAATGTATCTTGTTAAACTCGATCATCCTGTTCATACAAAATGTAATGTCATATATTGTTGTACTTATTAGTTTTGCTCATTTTGATCATCAGATGGAAGTTTTGCTTTTGTGACTTGGTCATCACACATTTACTGTCGACTCCTGATCCATTACCATGGAAACAGATGAGAAGGAAAACCCACTCCACTCTGAACAGGGTTCCAAGGTATGATACACGGATCTAAAATGAGATACATATGTCCTCCCCTTTGATTTATTATTGCTGCTTCAACAATATTTCACAGCTCAGATGTAGTGGTTTCTAAATTCGTAAGGTGTAGCGGTTTTGCTGAAACAAAAATTGACATGTTTCTGGATTGTGACTAATTGAAAAAATGGTTTGAAGATAAAAGCAGCAAAAATTAAGAATTTCAAGAAATGTTACATAAGTGTAGCAGATTTTAATCGCACATATGATTACAGTTGCCTTCTTGCTTCAAGCTAGAGGGAATTTCCCTCTAGGTCAGTGGTAGAGCGTCTGATTAGGAAATCTGCGATTGCATGCTCTCTCTCCTGTTACAAATGGTGCCGTGACCAGGATTCCAACCTGGGACCCTCCAAACACTAGACAGACGCTCTACCAACGATTACCATCCAGTTAAATTCCACTACAAAACAAGGATAGCTAAGGCTACACATTGGTCCAGCTTCATTTCACCCAGAATTCAGTCTCAATCATCATTGCTCTTACATTTTACTCTAACTGACAAATCTAACAGCTTTGATTACTTTAGGCACTCTGATGACATCAATATCTTACATGTGTCATATTTCAGTTTAATATTTGGTGATAGATATAACATTTTTAAGGACAAGTCATGTTTTGGTGGTGGAAGTAAACAAGAGCACCCAGAGAAAAAAATACCAATCTGCGGCCAGTACCTGGGGACTGCCCCAGGTAGGCCTGGAACTGCGACCCAGTGGTGGAGGGCTAGTGATCGTAGACAGTCATATGCCTTAACCACCAGCCCCTAATTATCCATTTGCCACAATTCAGCACATATACTCATAGTTGAAACTTTAACAAACTGTTTACCATTGTCCATTTCTTTTCAGCATTTAGCAGAAATGAAAGAATCCATCTCGGAGATAGAAAGAACAAATAACTTCATCTTAAAGAGATTGGATCAGCAACATGATAAAATGGACGGAGAAAATTTGTAAGTGTGACCAAATGTTGTGTACTTTAAAGTTTTATTTTAATAAAAGACCATTAAGATAAGAAAGTGAAAATTGTGCATGTGGACTTTATAGACAGGTTCTTATGTTCTGTATCTTGCAAAATACACTTCCATAATCATTTATAAAGTTTTATAAACATGTGGTCACTATCCACAAATAGTCACTATATAGGAACCTGAATGACTCTGCAAACATCATTTTTTTTGTTACATACAATATACTGAAGTAACCAAAGAATATGTACAATATTTACAGCTTTTATGTTAACTGATCTTTCTCTTTTTCAGACATATTGTAAAGCTGACAGGTATGTAGTTGACAAGGGTGTAACGGCTATAAAGTGACCATATATGTTTCTACACAAATTTCAAAAAACCTGTAGTTAAAGTATACAAAAATTTCATTTTCTGTACAATACATCAGAATAACAATACCAGCTAATTTTCAATTGGTAGTTTAACCTTTTTGATCATTTATTCTTTTATGGCAAACAACGCACACAGAAGGAACAAATTAGTAAGTTCAGAAATCTTGTAAGTGTAAGCAAGATTTTTTATACAGCTTAGTTTATCACTAAAATACTATTTTTCATGAAATGAAATGCAAATTTAAAACTTTGATGTGTTAGTTAAGTGACTTAATGTATTTCAGTAGCCTATGGAAATCAGGTTTTAATTGTCAAAAAGTGATTCATACACAAATATTGGGGTTTTATCAAATTCTATCTGATATTGACCACGCTTTGTAAACACCAAGGTACTAACTATTCTGTAAACTAGAAAAGAAAACACACAAAAGTATTATCTGTAAAAAAATCACATATGAAAGTGTTACGATATTACACAGCTACATACTGTATGACTGTTTGTATCGTGTTCAGAGGCACTGATGCAGAGGCTGCAGGATGTGGAGCGACGGGAATGCGAACAGGATGAGGAGATGCAACAGCTAGTGAGAACTGTGGCAGAGCTCGGAGACACTGTCTCATCTATGTGTACCGGTATAGACAACCTCAAGTTTACACTCACTAAAGAGGCCTCGGGCAAGGACCGACATCGCAGACACAGGGGACGTCATGATACCCCATCCCACCATCAGGAGACAGTAAAGGAATCTCCGGAATTGGACACAGTGGGCCAGCCTAAAGAGGATTCCTCAGAGTCAGGTCAGGCTTCAGGTACAAAGTTGGATGAAGCTATGGGGGGAACAGACCAGGTGTTAGCAAACGAGCGGTCACAGCCGTCTGAGACAACAGAGGAAGGAACAGAACAGCTTTCAGTAATTGGACAGGGACATAATAAGAATGGGTCGGATGAGTCACAGAAGTCAGATATGACAGTTACAGAGACAATAGGCGAGAAAAACACTAATCCAAGCAGTGAAAATGCAGATGAGGACAGAACAGTGGACCCCACAAATGCTTTAAATTCAAATGATGAACAAATCAATGCAAAGGAAACAGGTAATACTGAACAGCATTATCCTAATGGATCCGCAGTTAGTGCCCCAAATACTGGTGCTGACCAGCAGGTGGATGAGAGTGAAGAGAGACAGATTGTCAATGGTGTCATCAGTGATGAGATGTGGAATTCTGTAGTCAAAGCTGAAGCAAACAAAGGTGAGAGAAATTCCTTTACAGGTCACTTATTACAACTTCAGGCTTTGTAAATCAACAAATTGTACAGGTTTTAAATATGAACATACAAATTTATTGTTGAGTTTCTTATTTTATCATTCATTAAGGTTTCCTAAAAATTTCCTTATTTATCTGACGAATAAAAAACGTTTTGAGTTAAGAAGGGTAGTCTCCCTTGATTTTGTCACTTGCCTTCATCGTTACCTAAGTAGGCTACATACAACAAGGTTTATTCACATGCACAGCTGTATTTATTTTGGAAATTGTTATTTTAAATTTGTAACATGGTTTTGAAAGAAAGATAATCAAATATAATTCTTGACTTTATGCTGTTACTTCTTGCAAATCTCTGAATCTAAGCATTTTAACCTCTGTCATTTAGGTCAGCCCACTTGTAAACCAAGTGCATTCATTTATCACAGAATACTTCTGTGTTATCTGGACCATTTTAACAGGGCCCACTTTTAATCGAAATGCATTCATTTTTCTTTCATTTATCTGCACTCTTTATTCAGACACTCGGTAAAAGTTCTAACCATTGTGCCAAAGAGAGTAGTCTCCCCTGGTGGGGTATGTTCACTAACCATTCCAATCTTTGCAGCCAAGGATATTAGTCTTCCCTATGGTGACGGGATAGACACTGTGTTTGTAGTCGACATATCAGACAGCATGAAGGAGAACGGCCTTCAGCAAGCCAAGGATGCCATTCTTGAGATAATAGATTGTAAGTTAATTTGACATTTAATCATATCAGTTAATGTTATTGTTCCCCTTTAAAGAAGTTGGAGGGAGGGAAATACTGTGATCAGCTTGTAAATCAATTATCCTAATAGACTAACAGAGTTGATAGAGTTGTATGAATTGCAATTTATTTCTCACTTTAACCATTTTTTGGAGGGAGTAATAGTATAATTTAGCCAAAGGCTTACAGCTCTAGTTCAATTCTCTGTAGCTTCCTTGTGTTATACCTGTTTTTACAGAAAACATCTACTAACAGTTGTTGTAATTTGTTATTTTCTTAATGTTGCACTCTTCTAAACCAAAAACCTAAGTTTATCCTGGCAATCATTTAACAGTAAATAATTTAAGGTCTTGTTTACCTAGGGTTATGATCGATATCTTTCACTACAGAAAGGGGTATGGAATTTCATTGTCTCCAAGGAAAGATAACTCAAAGGTGAACTGTTAAAAGCCTTTATAGTGATTTAACTCTGATCCTCAATGGTTTTGCCAGTAGTACCCATTAACATGTCAGATATTCAACTCTGTAACCATTAGGGATGGGTCCTTTCAAGGTTTTCTGAAAATCATGAGAAAAAAATTCTAGCAATAGGTCAATAGTCAATTATACAAATTGAATTGAAATCATATTTTCTTTTCCATGTATATTTAGGGTCCGTTTTTGGAGATGCAGATTCCCTATACTAATCACTGTGTCCGTCCGTCCACACTTTTGTCTCTGAAGATTTCCTGAGTTTTGACATAGTGATTTGTAGATGTAGGGTTTAAAACATTTCTGAGGTCAAGGTCATTGTTCTTATATTAGGCCATAAGGGGTACGGTTAGGCACATGGCATGTCCTTTGCTGACCATTTAGTATTATAGTGTATTTAATATTTATGAAGATATGTAGGTCTATCTGGAACTTTCATGATTTGTAATTATTCACACACATATTTAACAGGGATAGAGATGGTGGCAAAAGAGGAGAAAGTGGAAGAAAATGTTGGCGTGGTAACCTTTGGCCACATCACACAGTGTAGGCACTATCTGACCAAGGACTACAACTCCGTGCGACAGTGTATTGGTAAGGAGATCCCTACTGTTTTCTTCATTGTATATAAATGTATTGGGTGTTTGACTTCACAAGAAATGGTTAAAAGTTCAACAGATATGGCAAAAACAAGGTATTTAACTTATATCAAATGTGAAACAGTTTCATGCATGATTTTCAAAATAAGATTAGGTATTTAAGGGAATATCCCCTTACAAAAATCTTCAAAGAGAGATAAAGTTGTCGTAACCTGATTATAATGAACCTCATTGGACCTCAAATTACAGTTTGGTATAGGTAAAATTTCTAATCTAGTTGGATATTCGCAAGAAAGTCTGTGCCAGAGGCTAAAATATTACTTACAGTAATTTGTTAAATCAGCAAAATTTCTGATGGTCAGGTAACAAAAAATTACAGATGATATATATACATGTATCAGAGTCTAAATACTCTGAATGTCATCAGCTGTTATTTCCAGGTATTAGACTTTATAGGAGAGGAGATCAAGCATTTAGATAGTGAATGTTTATATTCAGACACATCAGTGTAAATGCAGAAACAATAAATGTTGCTCACCCTTTGTTATAGCTATGATTTGTATTCCTCTCAAATAAGACATTTGAGTAATACTACAAAAAAAAAAGAACTTAAGAAATAATTAAAGTTATTCACATTGTAGTGATATGGACAGGTTGGCACTTTTGGTACTCGGAACATGATCAGGTTTTTTGTTGTAGCCGGTCTCCAGGCTGCTGGTTCGTCTCCTCTGTATGGTGGACTTGACATGGCTCTCGCTCTATTTAAACATGAAGGTACAACATGGATGCTTTCCAGGTCTTACACTCGTTATATATATAAACATGGTGTCTTTAATACTATATCTTACTTTGTATGAGATTTATTACATTTCACATAAAGAATGATGAAAATGGGATTTTGGAGAAAAATGTAATTCTTTACATTTATAAATTACTATTTCGCAAAAGATTTTTATTGTATTTAGAGTAGCCTTATAAAATGATACAGAGCCACTGAAAGTATTTAAGAATTTTAGTCCACTATTTGATTACAATTTTTTTACTAAATTTAATGTACAGGTGATGCCACAACTTTAGTATGTAACCACAAGATTTCCCCTCGGATTGTGTTGCTAAGCGATGGTCAAGCCACAGACCACCACTTACTGGGAGGACAAGACGATCAGGAATCTCCTGTCACACCCCAGGTAACTGTTTAATTTTGTATTAGTAATAACAGTTTAAAAATTATGGACTGAAATTTTGTTAGGTATAAAACACTACATGTTGCAGATAACACATGTTGCTGACAGTCGGGCAACATCATCCTGGAAACTCAGGTGAGACAGGTGCTTTAGATTACACTATTGAAATTTGCTTTAAAAAGATATTGTGTCCCATAAAACTTTTGTTATGTATTTGAAATTCTCAATTTCTGCAGTCACATCTTAGAGAAAAAAAAGTACATACATGTATATGTAAAATATTTATGTGTGTAACTTTCATCATATCAGCTGACAGAAAGATTTTTATCAGGAAAATGGTTTTTGAAACCATTCAACATAAAAAGGAAATATACCTTAAATGTATAACAGCACTAGATAAACTATCACAGTAAAATACCAAGTTTTGAGCTAACTTAAGGAAACATATAAACTATGAACTTATGATCTGGATCGTTTTACCCTAAATCCCGTTCGCTCCACAGGGTGTTTTCGCCCTAAATCCTGTACATACCACAAGTTGTTTCGCCCTAAATCCTGTTCGTACCACAAGTTGTTTCGCCCTAAATCCTGTTCGCCCCACATGTTGTTTCGCCCTAAATCCTGTTCGTACCACAAGTTGTTGCCCTAAATCCTGTTCGCTCCACATGTTGTTTCGCCCTAGATCCTGTTCGCTCCACAGGGTGTTTCGCCCTAAATCCTGTTTGTACCACAAGTTTTTCGCCCTAAATCCTGTTCGCTCCACAGGGTGTTTCGCCCTAATTCCTGTTCGCTCCACAGGGTGTTTCGCCCTAAATCCTGTTCGCACCACAAGTTGTTTTGCCCTAAATCCTGTTCGCTCCACAGGTTGTTGCCCTAAATCCTGTTCGCTCCACAGGTTGTTTCGCCCTAAATCCTGTTCGCACCACAAGTTGTTTTGTCCTAAATCCTGTTCGCTCCACAGGTTGTTTCACCCTAAATCCTGTTCGCTACATAAGTTGTTTCGCCCTAAATCCTGTTCGCTCCACAGGGTGTTTCGCCCTAAATCCTGTTCGTATCACAAATTGTTACGCCCTAACTCCTGTTTTGGTTAATTTTCCCTTTGGGGCCCCGCCTGTTCGTATCACAAATTGTTACGCCCTAACTCCTGTTCGCTCCACATGTTGTTTCGCCCTAAATCCTGTTCGCTCCACAGGGTGTTTCGCCCTAAATCCAGTTTGCACCAAAGTTTGTTTCGCCCTAAATCCAGTTCGCACCACAGGTTGTTTCGCCCGAAATCCAGTTCACCCGAGGTTATTGTTTCAACTAAATACAGTTATAAATATGTTTAGTGTTCGAAAACTTACTGAGTTCATGTTTCATGAAAAATTGTGTTGTCGGAAGAATTTTATGTGGATGCTATTTGCAAATCTGGTCGACATTGTTAAGGGTTGATCGAGTCTAATGTAAAAAAAAAAAAAAAAAAAAAAATGCTGAGAAAGACTAAAAAAAAAAAAAAAAACCTGGCTGAGCAAGACTAACAAAAACTCAAAAAATACACTGTGCAAGACTAACTAAAACTCAAAAAGAGAAAGGCTGAGCAAGACTAACAAAAACTCAAAAATGAAGACTGAAGTATACATACACTACTAAACAGGCTTAAAAAATATTCGTCCTTAAAATATTTTTTCATCGAAACAACCTAGCACAAAATGACAAACAGGATTTAGGGTGACATGAATGATAGAAGTTCACAATGATAACAAGACTAAATGCTCAGTTTCTTTTGACCACAAATAGTAATTGAAACTTTGCAAGCTTTTGAAAACTAGTAAAGTCACCTGTCAGAAAAATTCGAGAGAAATGTTTTCAAAAGCTAGCAAAATAAGTGTTCAATTACTGTTTGTGTTCAAAACAAACTTGGGTTTATTATTCATACCAAACTGCTGAATCTCATTCCAAACAGGTGAGAGACGCGGTGCTGACATTTACGCAGGGACTAGCAGAGAGGAGGGTTCCTGTATACTGTGTACCTATCGGAGATGATACTGATCAGGTAGGTCACACATGAGGTATCAATTATTACAACAGCAATAAAAAATCTCTTGTTTATATAAGGCTCCCATTTCTAATATGCTAACAGTAGACAAACATGAAACTTGTGTCAATTATTAGATTTAAAATGAAATTATGATGTGTTCAGAATTGCTTCTTTGATAATTTCTTCTCATAGGAGGTAGTCTAGTGGTAGGACGCCGGGCTCGTGACCGAAGGGTTGCGTGTTCGAGTCATGGCACGTTACTGTGTTGTATCTTTGAGCAAGATACTTTACTCCCCTTGTTCATGTCTACTAAGCAGTAAATGAGTACGTGGTTGGGCAGCGCTAGAATTGTTGAATGCTAGCTGTTAGTGCCGAAATGGCAGCTCTGGCTGTATGCTCCCCAGGGTGTTGAGAAAGATATTGGCTAGTTGCAAAGGCCCTATAACCACCTTGAAATATGAGTAACCCTTCCTGCCTTCACAAGGATCAGTTGACCTTATTTCATATGAAAGTTCTGAAAATGCTCTTAAAACCCATCAGAAAAAAAACAGATTTATGTGGATTTCATATTTTAGGAGCTTACAAAAATACATACATGTAAAAAAAATTGTTACAGAGTTTGCTGATAGACATTGCCAAAACCACATCCGGCCAGGTGGTGTCATTAGACGAAGTTTACAGGATAGGACGACACTGCAGTAATCTTGTGAGCCATCAGCACTAATATCCTTCTATTTTATACGTCATTTAAAGAAAATTCTCTTTTGCCTTTTCTTAAATTAGTTCAAATTTTATGATTTTAAATTTAGAAAAAAAACATCTTTATTTGTAAAATCAATGCTATTTGTGAAAAATAGGTTTGTATCATCAATGCTTTGTAACTGAAATGTAAAATAAGATGTATCTGACTAGTTTTGTGACGTTGTAGGCCTGTGTACTGCGAGTCAGGAAGATACTTCCTCATGAGGGACTGGATGCAACTGCCCTCAAGACAGTGGTCAAGATGACAGAAAAAAACTTCTCTGAAGATGACCTGGTCAGTAAATAATTACAATGCGTAAATTTATCACCAATAATAATTTTCTATCATGATAAATTCCTTTTTGTCATCATTATGATTCAGTAACTTTTAACTAATTCAGTACGTAGTAATAAGAATATTTTTAAACATACAATGAATACTTGAAGAAAGTTGTGTTGTTAGTGCTTTTGGATACATTGATGATAGAATATTTATAGAGCACTTGTCAAAAAATTGTACTACCGTAATAAATAACTGCTCACCTTAATCCTTTCCTAATGTTATGGCGCTGACACTCGGGTGGACACACAAGCATGTCATGGAGGTATAGAGAGAGGCATGTGCTGTGGTCTAGAGATCTAGAGATTTAATGTGTAGTGGTCTAGAGATCTAGATATTTAATGTGTAGTTGATAAATGTTTTGTTAGTTGAATTTCATACATTGTATTTCTTTTCAGGCAATGTTACATTGTAACATGAAAGTTTGATATATGGTGGGTGTCATGGTTGCAGTGGTACTGCGATTATTAGTTCAGCAAATATATGAACAATTTAGATGACTTAATTAGTTTAAACATAAAAGCATACTGCTTGATGATAATGCATAATGCATCCCTAATTATACCTTACTAATATGCTGCCATAGATTTTTCATGGGTAAAAAGTTTTCACGATTTTTGGCAACCTGCAAAATTAGTAGGCATACAGGCATTTAATCCAGTCTTACCTTTATAGCACTTCATAGCAACTAGACCTGAAATCTGTGAAAAAATGATTCCTGCAGAATTGACCATTTTAGCAAAATCCGCAAAAATGAGGCCCCTCCCCCCCCCTAAAAAAGAAGGAGACATTAACAGTATTGAGTAAAGTATAAAAACTTGCAGTATTATTTGTTTTAGGAGGACATGATGGCCATACTGGATAACCCTGTGTTCCAGCAGACTGTGGATAAAGGCTTCAACTTTGATGAGCTTACTGAGAGCGATTCTCAGATGCCTCCTATTGGGTCACGAGTGCGTAAGGGGCCGGAGTGGAAGTGGAAGAATCAGGATCTAGATGGAGTTGGTACAGTCATTGGTCACGGCAAGAATGGTGAGTCCTATAATTCCACTTATGTACGTTCAACTTTCATTATTCGCTTATTAGTATGTCACTAAATGAGTTTTGGGACTGTTTTTGCAGGATTTTTTTGTCTTCTTTTTTTTCTTACGTCAAGGCTTTTAGAAGTTTCTTCATGAGACTACACTTGCTTGAGATACTAAATCAAACTGCACATGAGCATTGACAATATGCATGTGTAGATGTGCGGAAAGTATTTCTTTTTTCAGATCAAACATGTAATGTGGCTTCCACAGCCTCTGATAGGTTGAAACTCAGATTTTGTTCCATTTTGCTAAACTTTAGTATGTTGGTGTATAATGACACTACACACACAACTGTGACTTCTCTTTACAGAGTAGACAAGATGTCCACCAGAATTTGGCTTCTGATTGGTCAAAATTTAGCTTTTTTCTGATATTGCTCTTTGGTACATGTATGTAGGAGTTTTAAGGCTCTGGTGCATCCTTTGCCACTATATGACTCAGTTTTGGGTACTTATGTAATGGTCCAATTCAAACTTGATATTTCTAAAATTATCCTGAAAACAAGCTTATAATTATGAAAAGTTGCTATTTTCACGTTGACAAGTTGAGTGAGGAATATTGGCTACTACATCTACTTGTAGATATAAATGTGTCCGATGACATTTCTAATGAATGACCTTCTAATTGCATAATAACAGATTTTTTTTGCTCAAGCTTTTAATTTGTTTTCTGTTGAAAACTAAATAACACTTTCACAATTATGAAATAATGACAATGACCATTGTGTTGACCTTCAGGTTGGATAAAGGTTGAATGGGACTGCTCCAACAAAGGGGAATATCGCTATGGTAACAATCAGGCATTTGATGTAGTGTTTGTGGAAGAGCCACGGCTGCTGAAGACAGATGAAACCATAGCAACGGGATGTGTTGTATGTCGAGGTGAGACTCCATGTTGGGTCTACTCTATTAGCACATCACCATCATGCTGTCAACAAAACCAGCTATATAGTCCACAGAACTCAGGAAATTAGTGAAATATTTTTGTTATCATCATTCCTGGGGTTCACATTTAAAAGAACATCAGGGTTATTTAAGTGTTTGATAGCTACCTGGATGGCTGGGTATTCTATAGGAAATGAGGGGCCTATTTTCTCCTTTTTTTTGCAAATTGATATTTTCACTGGTATTTAATAAGGTTAAAAAATAGACTTATTCATTGAGCCCACATGAATAGTTATTCTGCATTATCAGTTTACAAAGGATATTTGAAAACAATATTCATTTTACAAGTACATGACATATTTAGACTATATAAACCTCTAGATCTTCGAGAGATTAAGACTTGTTTTCATAGATCATTTTCCTTCTGTAATAAGAAGACATTTGTGTTTCAGGGATAGATTGGGAGTACGAGGATCAGGATGGTGGGTTTGGGAAGATCGGCACAGTTTATCATACAGAACCTGACGGACAAGTCTGGGTAGGTGAAAGGTCAAGGTCGAATTTAGGTTCGTTATAATCATCCAATGCATCTCATAAGAGTGATTATATAAGTTGACAAAACTTGTTTTATAATTGCTGTAAATCAATAAAGTTTATATTAAAACTTATAAATAAGGTAAATAAAATAAGGTAAATAAAGCACCCTAGCTTCTTTTTAAAGCCAATTAAAGATGGTTTCCTATCAATCTATGTTTAAAGTCTACTTACATTTTGAGTGATATTTATTCTTGAGTAAATTCAAATATCACATTTAAAATAATTATCTTTTCATAATCTTGTCCTACACATTGAGTGGAACAAGAATAAATTTCCTCACAAATTAACATAGAAAAGAGAGTTCTCTGAGTTAAATTTGTTTTAAATATATGTACCAGTAATCTTCAGTATAATGTCACCTTTGTAAGGTCAAATGTAGGGACAAGCATGACATTTTGGCATAAACTTCAGTAGAGAAATTAATTTTCAGATTTATACCACCTGTCCTTGTCACAAACACACATTATGAGTTAGAAATCATTTGTGGATATGTGTCACCATTATTAGCTCACCTGGCCCGAAGGGCCAAGTGAGCTTATGCCATGGTGCGGCGCCCGGCGTCCGTCTGTCCGCCGTCTGTCCGCCGTCCGGCGTCAATATTTTACTTTAAACAACTTCTTCTTAATAACCAAGAGGCATAGGGTGATGATATTTGGCCAGAAGAAAACTGGAATGAAGGGCTACCAAGTTTGTTCAAATAAATGACCTTCACCTATTTTCAAGGTCACAGGGGTCAAATATGTTTAAAACTTGAAACAACTTCTTCTGAATAACTAAGAGGCCTAGGATAATGATATTTGGCCATTAACATGCTAGGATAAAGGACTACTAAGTTTGTTAAAATGAATGACCTTGACAAATATTCAAGGTCACAGGGGGCAAATATGTTTAAAACATTTAAACAACTTCTTCTGAATGTCCAAGAGGCCTAGGGTGCTTAACTTTTGCCAGTAACATGCTGGGATGAAGGGCTAGCAAGTTTGTTGGAAAAAATGACCTTGACTTATATTCAAGATCACAGGGGTCAAATATGTTTAAATATTTAAGCAAGTTAATTCTTCTGAATAACCAAAAGGCCTAGGGTGATGATATTTGGCCAGTAGCATGCTGGTATGAAGGGCTATCAAGTCTGTTCAAATGAATGACCTTGACTTATATTCATGGTCACAGGGGTCAAATATCTTTAAAACCTTTGAATGACTTCTTCTTAATAAGCAAAAGGGCCAAGGGTGATGATATTTGGCCATTAATATAACATGCTGGTATGAAGGGCTACCAAGTTTGTTCAAATGAATGACATTCGCCCATACTCAAGGTTGCAGCGGTCAATATATGTTTAAATCTTTAAATGATTTGTTCTGTATAACCAAAGGTCCAGGGTAATGATATTTTGCTAGAAGCATGCTGGGTTTGAAGACTATAAACTCTGTTCAACCTAATGTCCTTGTTCGACATTCAAGGTCACAGGCGTCATATGTTTAAATCTTTTAATAAGTTTTTATGAATCAAACACTGATATTCTGCCTGTAGTGGTATTTTAGTCCACTTTTAAGATTACAAGTGTGAGATTAAAACCAGGTGAGCGATATAGGCCCATTGGGTCTCTTGTATAAAATGACTGTTGAGTGAACAAAAAAAATACTTCTGCTAATTAAAATTAGATAGATACTGGAATTGAGTGTTATACAATGTATAATAGTAACATGACAACTATAGGATATTGTGTTTGTTTTTCCAATTAAAGGTAAGATGGCCAAATGGTCACAGAGGAAGATACCACTACACCCGAAATGGCAAGCAGGAACTGGTAGTGTGGTAAGTTATAAAAAACATTACAGTACTGGCATATGTTATACATAAAAAATACTGTATCTGCAAACAGCCCCTGTCAGTAAAGATGGCACATTCTTTTTAAGAAATGAAAAAATGTAAACAAGTATGGTGAATAAAATGTACTCATTGGCGTATAAATAAACAAACAAAATTATATTCATATAAACTCTGGTGATAATTTGAGTAAAATTAATTGTTTAATCAACTGCCAATTAAATTCTCAATATAACACTTTGAACCTCATTTGTTGAGAAAGTATGTTGTCTTTGAAAATTTATGTGAAATTTTGAAGTTTTATTTTTGATATTTCATTTCAATCAGTGATCCATTTGAGGTGCATCAAATACGGGCTGAACAACGTGCTTCTGTAGAAGCTGAGGAAGGGGCCGCAGGAGGGATTAATCTGAGGTCTAGATCTAGCAGTATATCAGAATCTTCATCCATCCCAGATCTTCCCTGTGACGATGATCTAGCATTCATGTCAATCTATGACATGGTTCCCGCTTCCAGGAGCCTCCAGCTGGATGACGAGGAGGATGAGGAAGAAGATGAGGATGTTGGGAGAGTTGACGAATTGTCTCTGGTTGAAGCCATGAACAAAAGAAATGAATCTGCTCAGAGTCTGCCTCCCCGTAAGATTCATGAATCTGAGTTGTCTGATCAGTCACACATGGACATTGTCAGTGTAGAAGACTCACCAGTGTTGCCTGTTGTTCAAAAAGACCTACCTAGTAATGGTATTTTCCAGGTAGACCTTCCAAAGGACGTTGGACACAGTTCAGTTGGTAATGATAAAAACATTTCTGCTACATCCTTGTCACATCATCAAGACCACAAATCAGACACCAGTGGGTCTTTAACAGGAGACAGTGTAACATTGTGTGAAGGAGATGAAGCAACAAATGGCAATGGTCTCTGTGACCAAAATACAAGTCTGAGTGTCACCCTGGAGGCGTCTGTAAAATTTAATGAGTCAGTCAGCATTGGCACTCCCCTATCACACAGTACACCATCAGGCCTTAAATCCTCAGGGTCCCTCAGTACACCTGATCCTGCAGCCTCTGGGTCAATTGGCACACCAGTCACAGGAAAGCAAGGAGGTAGTGAATCTGTCAGCTCTGATAGTCTTAACATTACAAAGTCAAAATTTAGTTTAACAGAACAGCAGAAAACAATCTCTCACCCCACAGAAGATTCAGAAACAGCCAAGGTTAAAACAACCTACTCTCCACCGTCCCCAGTATCGGGTCAGTCTCCCACCGGCTCCCCTGGTAGTTCCTTCCGAGCACTGAGCCACCCAGCAGGATCTTTCAGCATCAGCAGCCATTCCTCCAGCACATCCAATGTGGTCTCAGCAACCCAAAGTCAGATCAGCACAAACTCAGACTTTCTAAGTGGTAAAATCTTATCTATCATTACCAGTATTACTTTCTCACCTGACACAAAGCACGTTTGAGCTTGTGCCGTGATGCAGATTTCTTGTCAACTTTTCTTTAAATAACTTCTTCTAAAGAACCATATGCCCTAGTATCATGATATTTGACAGTAAGATTAGTGTGAAGAAGTGCTACCAAGATTTTTCAAATAGGTAATCTACACTTTATAAGGTCACAAATGGATCTTATGTTTCGAAATCTTCTAATAAATGATATCTGGCATGTAACCTGCATGGGTGAAGGGCTACTAAGTCTGCAAATAAATGACCATAGCTTACATTAAAGGTCACAGATCAAATGTGCTAAAAGCTACATTTAACTCTTTCTCAAGAACCCTGTTAGGAGTTACAATATTGCCCATGTAGCATGCTCGGGTGAAGTGCTGTTTATAGAATCCCACTCAGTTACGTTTACCATTTTCGAAGGTCACAAAAGTCAGATGTGCTGAAAATTTCAAACATTTCTCTCAAGGATTTCAGCATTAAATCTTTCCTTGCCAAAAACGTCATAAAACAGGTGATCAAAACAGAACTTTTGGGCCTTTTGTTTAACTCTATACATGCAGTTATGTGTTAAAATAGTGTCATCTTATATATAATTGATGTAGTGGACAATGCCTTTCAGGTTTGGTGAATAATTTAAAATAAATCAGCATTTAAGGTGTGTGACATTAACTACTTCTGGAATGTTCAGCTTTCATGCACACTTTTTTTTTTTTTTTTAATCCAAAATGTCCTCTTCAGCTATACTTTTCTATGGGAAATCTATAAGAATTAGTTAAGGAACAACAAGAAACTATGGCCTGGTCCAAAGTTGAATTAGGTGTCTCTTGTCTTAAAGTTAGGGTCAGAGGTTTATGCAAAGCACAATGTACAAAAACAATCTTACTTTCTGCACTTGTTCTTTGTACCGAAGTTTGTTGCCCATTTATACTTTTATGTTTCATGTATTTAGATATCATTTTCCCCTTGGTTTATATTAGACACTTTTTCGGACACTGCATCTTTGACGTCAGCGTCGACATTCACAATGACAGATGTTGTGTGGCAATGGGAGGATAAAAAGAAGGCATGGCATAGCTTCTCCCCAGAGCAGAACCGCAAGATAGAGAAGACACGTAAACGCAGTCCAAGGGGCACCGTAGTTCTGTCTATCAATGGGGAAGAGTAAGTACAGCTGGCTTTAGGCACTCAGTCACTGGTGACATGTGTTGTTTAGTTTGGAAACTTCTGTTTTGAAGAAAGGATTTACAGAACTTAATGGATATTTCATCTTAAACTAATTATCTTCTTGATTATAATTGTCTTAATAGCAAGTTTAACAGATTATGAAAGATTGGATTAATGAGATGTCATTGTTTTGATTGTTGGACTATAAATTATTTACAAAATTGTATCTTGTCTACAAAAGTCTAGTTAATAATTTTGTCAATCTTAACAAGTTGTTAACTTGGACATCCTCTTAGACATTAGACAAGGTCATTCCTTAATCAAGGAAAGTTATCAATTATATATAGCATGGCTTAATGCTATGATAATACATTATATCTTCTAATTACAGTTTCAGGGTAGTGATGTACAAATCCATACAGATCCATACAGTCAATAGGTCAACCAACAACATCAGGTGTATAGGTAAGTTAACTGTCAGTAGGGTGACCAACAACATCAGGTGTATAGGTAAGTTAACTGTCAGTAGGGCGACCAACAACATTAGGTGTATAGGTAAGTCAACTGTCAGTAGGACAACCAACAATATCAGGTGTATAGGTAAGTTAACTGTCTGTAGGACAACCAACAACATCAGGTGTATAGGTAAGTTAACTGTCATTAGGATAACCAACAACATCAGGTGTATAGGCAAGTTAACTGTCAGTAGGGCGACCAACAACATTAGGTGTATAGGTAAGTTAACTGTCAGTAGGGCAACCAACAACATCAGGTGTTTAGGTAAGTTAACTGTCAGTAGGACAACCAACAACATTAGGTGTATAGGTAAGTTAACTGTCAGGAGGACAACCAACAATATCAGGTGTATAGGTAAGTTAACTGTCAGTAGGACAACCAACAACATCAGGTGTATAGGTAAGTTTACAGTAAGTAGGACAACCAACAACATCAGGTGTATAGGTAGGTTAACTGTCAGTAGGACAACCAACAACATCAGGTGCATAGGTAAGTTAACTGTCTGTAGGACAACCAACAACATCAGGTGTATAGGTAAGTTAATTGTCAGTAGGGCACCCAACAACATTAGGTGTATAGGTAAGTTAACTGTCAGGAGGACAACCAACAATATCAGGTGTATAGGTAAGTTAACTGTCAGTAGGGCAACAAAAAACATCAGGTGTTTAGGTAAGTTAACTGTCAGTAGGGCAACCAACAACATCAGGTGTTTAGGTGAGTTAACTGTCAGTAGGACAACCAACAACATTAGGTGTATAGGTAACTTAACTGTCAGTAGGACAACCAACAACATCAGGTGTATAGGTAAGTTAATTGTCAGTAGGGCAACCAACAACATTAGGTGTATAGGTAAGTTAACTGTCAGTAGGGCAACCAACAACATTAGGTGTATAGGTAAGTTTACGAAATGAAACTGAACCAAAAACCAAAATATAACCTGGAATTACTAATCAAGTCATTACTAAATAGACCATATGAAAAGGAAATGCTATAAGGTTAATTGATTACCGGGATCTCTGTAATTTTGCAAATTTTAACTACTAAACAACTTAATATACTGAACATCTACAGGATAATGACAGTCTCTTTCCTGAGTCTATAACTTCTTTGCATTTTGAATACAATGTTAACTAACTGAACACATTTAGTCTGCACTGTACGAGTCAAATGAAGCTAGGGAATCCCTCAATATCTTAAAAGCCAAATAAACTTGCAACCATTTTATTGTATTATACACAAAGTATGTCCTTCACCTAAACAATCCAATTTTTCTCCCTTCAGATAGTGATGTGGCAAACCTTGGAGACGTCGAGACATGAAGCTGAACCCTCAGTAGTTGGCTTGTCACAGGACTGCCGGTCTTCAGAAACCCAGGATCCACACATTTAGCAAGTTCTTCCCATAATTGTTAGAAACAACAGCTTTAACAAATTTAAGTGCTTCCTACTACTGGGAAGACACCAGGCCCCGTGTTAATACAGCCAATTCGTACCCAAACAAACTTTCCTACAGCTCAGAAATCTTGCTTCTAGTTCAAACTGGAAACACTCATTGTGACGGCTACAACACTTGCTGAAAGCCATGAAAAATACTCGACCACAGAATCCGAGTTCAGCATTAGAATGGTTTAATGAAGACAGACTGAGCTTCATCAAATACATTTCCCTTTGTTGTTGTTCTACAACAGAAATAAGCCGAAATACATCAGTAAATATGAAATCATTGTGGCCTGTTTGTGTATTAACAAGTAGTTAAATATATGATAGGTACATTTCAGGTGGTTTGGTAAAAATAAACTTGCTAAATAGGAGTTTAGAGTAAAGAATAATTGGGCATTTAATTTAGTCTTACTATGAAAATTACTGTTGTATATAAGTGTATGCAGGAATTGAAGAAATATAATTCTTGTCTGCAGCTTTTAACATGTAGAGATGGCATTGACATTATACCTGTCTAGGATCAGGTTTATCTGTACATAGCTTGATAAGCTCCTTTTTCGCTATTCCAGGAATTTGGTCCTAACAGTACACAAAAGTAGAGGTATGTGTATTGCACGAAAACCATTGGTAGGAATGGGTTTGCAATAACCAAATCACATGGCTTTTTACTACAGAACCACCCTGTTCATAATAAGATCTATATACTAAGTACTGACTTTAAAACGATAACAGCAAAGTTTTAATGTCTTGTGTATCTGTGGAATTAGAATTATCAAATAATCCATACTATTTGTCCATCAACTCTGCTCCCAGACGAACCATTCACACCCCTTAGTGCAATGAATGATACTGGGAAATCCCAACACAATCTTAAATGGCTCTGTCGTAAAAGGGTGCTCTTTTTCAGAAATAATGATATTAACTTACCAAAACCATTTTTCATCGTTGAATTGCTTAGCCCGAAATCATGTTGCAATAATTAAAACAGTTCTCATTCTAGTTTGCTTAACATTCATGTAGCGTTCTAGCTGATGTGCATTATATAAAGCCATAACCAATAAACAGAGTTATGGCCCTTTGATCATTTTTATACCAAATAGTATTAATACTGCATACAGGTCGTTTTGGGACTATATGGCTTGCTTGCAATATTTGCCTTGTTATTTTCTGATATTAATTTGTTAGTATCTATGTTTGTTATCCGAGTCATGTGTAAGTACTTCATTTTGTTATCTCTCACTATGTTATTGTTAAGGGTAACAAAAAAGTAAAAGGATTAAAAGTGAACTGTTGTTAGTCTTAAAAGATTAAAAATGTCAGGGGATCCTCTATAGATGATTTATATTGTATATCATACATATATATTTCCACTCTTACTTGTGGAAACCTTTTGTTCCGACAATATAACTGCATTTATCTAGTAATAATAAGCCCATGCCACGTAATAGGCTTGCCATGTCTATTGCAGTGACAGTAATGCCAACATATGTTATTTCATTGTTCTGTTATAATAAGCCATTTGATTTGGACATTACTGTTACAAGTTGTATGCAATTATTTCTACTTTTCATTTGAATTTTTAAAGTATGATTGTTTCTACGTAGATGTATAGATGAACATGGATGAGATGGAAGATCACAAAAGAGTATCTCATGTGGAACACTTATGTTGGACATGTTTCTAACAAGATCGTACTAAATGACCTCTAGTTCGGGAATCATATTTTACTAAAGTTGAACTATGAAGTGCCAGAAAAAAATTGTTCAGGCAAAATATATTAGCATACCCTAAAATGTTGATGGAAAGCCTTGTTCGAAAATATTCCGGACTTGAAAACAAAAAAGTTAGCCAGCCTTGAAAATATGCCTTTGATTCTTTGCTGTCAATGCATATGGTTGATCTTGAAAATCAGCTTTCATTTTATGGGGGAAAAAACCTGAACATATCTATAGCTATAATTTGCGCACTTTTAACTTTATTTCTGCACTAAAACTCTGCACACGTTACACCAAATGTCATGGTAAATGGTACAGAATTTTTAGCAATGATGCAAATGTGGCATGTACCATTTAAAAAATAAGCTAAGTATTCCTTCAAATATAAGCCACAGTAATTTCAAGATTTTTGAGTATCTTGTCAGGTGACGTTTGGAAATATAACCTTTCTTATGTAATTCCTGCTGTCATTTAACTGTCGCTATGATCGGTGGAAGAATATGTACCACAGAAATTAAGTCAGTAATTGACATCACCAAAATAAACAATTACTCAACAAGTTTGGAGGCTTTTGTAGACAGATAATTTTTTCAGCTTTTTCAAAATTTCAAATTTATACATTATCTAGAAAATCTACTTAAGCTAATGTTGTACTTGCAATGTCGCTTTATATTTAACATGTGTAGACATTTTAGATAACATTTATCAATGACTGAATTTATTTTCATGCTTTTGACCTCCACAATACAAAAGCAGTTTTTTCTTAACTAGGTTATATTTTGAAAAGTATAAATTTCACAAACTTGTTAAAAGTTCAATCAATAGTGTGCTTTAAAAGCTAAATCTCGAAGGTGTGAGAAAGGTAGTGGCAGTTAGTCATAAGTCATTTTGTGACATTTCTACTGGGCTTTCAATAATTGCAATATTTTGTCTGTTATATGACTAGTATTTAAATACAAGTATATTTGTTTATCTAATAATGGTACAAAACTATTTAAAGATGAAATATTTTTTAGCTGTACAGTGTCTCATGGATGAGCAGTTGCTATTTCTATGTGACTATTCCATGCTTGAATCTTATATATATATATACAAGAAAATAAATTTAAAACAATAAACAATCAAATTCATTCAATGTTGGTTATATTTTATGAATTAGTTATTAGCACTCATTGACTAATTTGTGCTCCAAGTTACCCACAGTAAAAAAAAAAGAAATCAGTATGGTTGTGAGGAATGTCTAGACTTCAAATCAATCAAAAGAAATCAGTATGGTTGTGAGGAATGTCTAGACTTCAAATCAATCAAAAGAAATCAGTATGGTTGTGAGGAATGTCTAGACTTCAAATCAATCAACCCACCTTGGTTGGATTGATGTAAATTATTACAAACTTTGCTCTGTTACCTAAAATGTCAAATATTTCTCCTCACTATTTTAATGTTATGATTGAACTGGTGTAAAGTGGTATAGTTGTTGACAGATAAGTTCAGTGACTTGTTGTTTATGATTTCTACCCGAAAGAAAAAGCAATATACTCTCAATTACGAACACCAACACTGTACATCCTCAGTATGAGGAAAAGAAATGACCTGCTGCATCTCATTGACTGATAGTGTGAGGTGACTAGTGAGGCAAGCCAACTTAAGATCGTTTTAATGGATATAGTGCCTGGAAAGGATTTCACTAAACATTTTGCATTTATTTGACCTTTGACTTTGCGTTGAATGTCACTGTGATCTTATTAGACAGCATTGCACACCTGTGTGGGGGATGCAGATAACCATTGAAAGTTTTATCAAATAACTTAAACGTGACAGCCCTGACAAGATGTTACTTCTATGTAGAAGGAAAACCGAAAGAACTGTACCAAATATTGCTATACCTCATTTATAATTATATAACAGATTACCAGAATGATAAAACTGATCACATGACATGAAAATGAAACAGTGACACCAACACTCGAGTTTCCGTGGTCATATTTTTCTTAATCAGTGCTTCTCTAGAATAGTTGGGCAAAAGCCAAATTGGATCTTCTCTAGAGGAATTGGGCAAGAGCCACCACACCTGAGTCACCTGAGTTCCAAGTGACAGAACCATGTAACTACAAATGGGTGACAACCTGATCATCTTTACTTCCATTATTTCAAAATTATGTGTGTATTTCTGTCGAAACAAAAAAAGAACACTTGAATAAACTAAAAAATATTCATTATAATTTAACATATTGAAATATCACAACTTTATAAAGGTTTGTTAATCTTGAAATATTGTTTAAACAAACTGAATATAAAATTTGGCAGCACTATATATTGTCATTAACAACATTATGAAATGTCCAGTTCCATCAGATTTCTTGCATAAATATGTGTTTCATCTCCTATAGAATACTGTATTAATGGCTTAGTTGGTGGATCTCAACTTGTGTCCTGGACTGATCCTTATCCATTACATTGATAGATGTATAACACTTTCCTTGAAAAATCCTTGGAAAATTCCTGAACTGATTCTTCATAACTTTCCTTTGCCAAACTTGTCCCTGACCAGTCCTTGGTATTTTCTTTGACTATCCCTTCATGCTTCTTTGACCTCAATAGTTGCCAGGACTAAGCCTTGATATCTCCTGTGGCCACTACTTGATGGTGTCGCTGAACTATTCAAGCTAGATGTGAATCCTTTCCTAGTAAGTCATTATGTCCTTACTAGTGATCAGTGAGTTTGTTGGATCATTTGTGTCCTTAGACTGATCTTAGCTAGTGTTTTAAGTGATTCAGTGTCCTTGAACAGTCCTATAAGTAATCTTGACCATCCTCTCTGGTGTCTTGACCACACCAATCAGCACTTCTGTAGCTTGTGGGAAAAGCATTTGGCTCTGTTCAATACCTACAACATACACAAATAATTTAGGTGGAAACTCTCTAAAGATTTTGAATGGAGATAGAGTGAACCACTTTTTTATAAAAGTAAAATTTAAAGTTCACTACCTTTGTAAATAATAACTTGATATACCATGATTTTTGATGTCACAAACAGCTAAGTTTGCGTAAAGAATAAAACCTTGAGTCCAAACACTTCAGATGAAGTGTAAAAGGTTACAATACACTTCAGTTTTCATAAATATAGGATCTTACATGAGTTTCCATTTCATATGAGATTTATGAAACAAATTTTTCAATTTAGCGAGCCTCTGGTGAGCTAAAATGAAAAATTTGTGACGAGTTTCATAAAAGATCCTTTTTATCACATAATCCAGATATGTGGCATTTATTTGTGTAAAACTACAATTGTCATACAACATTGNAAGATCCTTTTTATCACATAATCAAGATATGTGGCATTTATTTGTGTAAAACGACAATTGTCATGCAACATTGAAATGTAAAAAAGCCGCCATTTTGACTTTAAGTGCGTATGTCTGTGACGTCATGTACTTGTCCTAGGCATGACGTCACAATCGAAACAATTGAAACANACATCTGAAATTACATTTTCGAGATTGAATTTTTTGGTCAATAACTGGAATTTTGATATCGTATTTTAGACAGCTGGGCTTCCAAGTGTTTGTACATACCTGCCGAGCTGGCCACCAGCGGTAGTGAAGTATTTGTTGAAGTCAAGTCTGAGGAGAAGCTGGGCCAGATGAGGACTAGCATTGTGACTCCTTACACTGGACAGAATCTTAAACAGCAGGTTGGACTGCAGCTGGAAACTCTGAAACCATACAATATTTATATCAAACTCTGAAACCATACAATATTCAAATAAAACTCTGAAACCATACAATATCTATATCAAACTCTGAAACCATACAATATCTATATCAAACTCTGAAACCATACAATATCTATATCAAACTCTGAAACCATACAATATTTATATCAAACTCTGAAACCATACAATATTTATATCAAACTCTGAAACCATACAATATTTATATCAAACTCTGAAACCATACAATATTTATATCAAACTCTGAAACCATACAATATTTATATCAAACTCTGAAACCATACAATATTTATATCAAACTCTGAAACCATACAATATTTATATCAAACTCTGAAACCATACAATATTTATATCAAACTCTGAAACCATACAATATTTATATCAAACTCTTAAACCATACAATATTCATATAAAACTCTGAAACAATACAATATCTAATGTTTTATCAAACTCTGAAACCATACAATATCTATAAATCAAACTCCTGAAATCAAAATATATTATATTTCTATCAACAACCAAAGTTAACAAGTGCTTTTCAATCTGAAAGAACTAAAGCTTTGCAGATACATATACATATAAGAAAATCGATACTGATATTAGCAACAAGAGAACAAGACTTTCACTCATTCCAAAAAAATATTTTTTCTATTTCATTCAAAACTGACATAAGACAAAACAAAACAATTGGCCACCAAATTTTACCAGTAGCCTAAACGGAGACTTACACTTGCATATTTGTAAGTGGGTTTTTTTGTCTTGATTTTAACTAAACTTTTTAAGATTGACAGAATCAGATAATTGATCACACTTTCAGGTTAAAACAGCTTAGTTGTAGAGTTTATAATTGAGTAGATGCATGCCTTTCCTATGGACTGTAGCTGGGTAATCTCCCTTTGTGACATAGGCGACTCGCTGTGGGTGAGTAAGTGGCTAAAGGCTCCACACTGCTCCAGTATCTCACTTAAACAGTTGGACACCTGTAAACAGTGACACCTTAGTTTATTTATATACATTTAATATAATACTACAAAATGCTTGTAAAACACACGCATGCACCCACTCTCATGTTGTACTTTGGTAGAATTTGTGCTAAAATGAAAGTCTTTCCCAAGAATTGGAGTTAAACATGAAGTTCAATCATGAGCAATGAAGTGGAAATATAGGTCACAACATAGCCAGATCCTAACATACCAAAATATCTCTACATTGACCTTGGCGGTAGAGATCTCACATCTGTATATGATAGGTAACATACTCAAAAGTCCAAATAAACAAACTTTTGTTTACATTCCTATTGCCCTTAAATACACTAAGCTACCAAAATCCTAATGCATTCATAGTAATATGAATGCAAAGGGATTTGTCTTTGTCTTTAATTCTGTAGGCATACAATAAAAATGTAACATTAAAAAACACAGACTGGTATTGGTCAGGAGATGCTTATGGGTGCAAAAGACTCATGGCTGTAATACTTGTGATAAATTTCTGGAGAAAAAGTTAAAAACTTGAATCAGGAACTTTCTGTCATCATGTCAAGATTCTGTGGTTATGATTTCGACCTTGACTGTATTTCTTGACTTTCAATTGGGCTTTGGAGATTGGTGTAAGAGACACTTGTGTGAAGTTTCATGAAATTTGGTTTCAATATTAGTCAAGAAACTGTTGACGTATAGGCAGACAACGGACGGATAGGATGACACTAGTAATATATTTTCTACAAACACTGGCACATAAAATTAACTTGTAGTTTAACTGAAAATAAATTTGTATGGGCAACTTAAAAGCTAATTGGTCCGCAAGCTGTAGCTGCTTTCATTCAAAACAAGTGTTACAACCACTTATATAAACTACATTACCAACAGTGCAGCACATAGCAGATTGGTTATTAGGTACCCAATCACACTTTTGTCTTCCCACGCATCCAAAATAGTTTGAAAGAACATCAAGGAATACCTACAGGTTTGCTGTGGATGAAGCTCTGGGACAGAAGAGCAGATAGGAACTGGTCGTGGGCAAGTCTGACCGCCTCAAAATCTCGAGTTGAGTTTATCTTTTCTACAAGGATTCCATACTGTGACTCTATTACGTCAACCTGAAAAATATGTTATTGATGATGTTAAATCAAAAGAATTTCTGGGACGGATTATTTTTAGATATAAAACAGTGATTTTGAAAATTTTAACTACCCAGTACAGGTTTTTTTATGCACAAAATTCTCATTATTATTTTAGTCGTTTTCATTTATCTGCAGGTAATAATATAGATATAAATAATCAATTATTTTAAAACTTTTACACATTTTATTTTTTTTGTATCGAATCCAATATCTGTATATAGTAAAATTTAATCTCAATCTGTTACTATAGTTTATACTCTGGCATCCCAAACCTGCTGAGGTCTACTACCAAAGCAACTATATGGAAAAGATAGGAGAGAATTTTACACAGACCCCTTCATCAATGTAAAACTAAATTTAAATGATGTAACAGCTGACAGCCAGAAGAATCTGGATAACTTCATCACAAATATGCTTCAAATCAAACCTTCTCTACCCTGTTTTTACCACCAATTGCGGAACAACCATCACCTGTAAGTAGTACTGCAGGTTGTCCACCAGAAAGGACATGTGGGTGCGTAGCTGCCATTTGGCCATCTCCTCTCGACTGACCAGACGCTGCTTGAACTGCATCTGTAGAACCCAACACTGCTGGATGTCAACCTGGGCTCGCCGCACAGCCAGGAGGAAACAGAACAAGCGATTGTACCTTAAAAATCAATTACACCTGGTTATAAGTACCAGTAATAATGGTCTGATATGTATACTTATGTTCCACTTCTGAAATCAAGGTTGAGTCTTGTTTGCGTCATAGGCTTTTCAAAATGTTATAAAGTTTATAAGAAAAGGAGGCTTCAATCACAACATGATAAAAGCTTTACTAGTATTAAAGTTGGTACCATCAATTGGCCAACAATTTACATCACTAGGTTTGAGACTTCATCGTAAAGTAAAAGTTTATAGTCCACTGATGAAACAAGTGTATTTGAAGAATTTCCTTGTTTAGACTCACTGGAAGGAGTGTGGGAAATGTAGAGGCCACTGCATCACAAAGACTTGTGAAGTCCAATAACAGTTTGCAGGGACAGGCTGGACCAGGTACTTACAGATAAGAATGAAAATGATGTATATAGAAGGCCTAACAAAGTCCAATCTCTTTACTGTTACTTCCTTTTCACTACTTACTTTTTAAGACTAGAGGGAGTGAAGAAGATATGGAGAGGCCACTGAACTGTGTGTGCGAGACCAAGTGCTGACCAACCACTCTCTACTGGGGAGGACAGGGTCAGGGAAGACACACTATCTGTCTGCTCTGTGAAAATAAAATGTTCAGAAAGGTTGATGTTTTATTTATTTTGTAAAGAAAAAAAAGAATTGAGGGAAAATTTGTTGTATACAAACAAAAGATCGAAATAAGGCATTTTCTGTTACATCAGTGACAGGTAATTTAATGTGTGCCTTACTTTTTTCTGGGGCTTTGTAAGCCACAGTTAAGTGGAATCTCTGAAGTAACTCCTCGTCATCAATAAGAACATTGCGTGCCGACTGCTGGAAGGCTGTATTAACATCTGTGGAGAATTGAAAGTTTTGTTATTATTATTTCATGCATATGAATAAAAAAGAATGAGTTTGACATAATGGAATTTCCATTTCAATTGATACCTTGTAAGTGAAAAGAAGAAAAAAAATAAACTTACATGACAAATTTTACGATAACTATTTGCTACCAGGTATTATAAGATAAAATAACACATTTACCAGATCATAATGTCTGAATGTTTCTAAATCATTTGATTTAATGGCATGTTATAAACTATACAGAACCATAACACCGATAGGTAACAAATTTAGCTGCCCTGTAGTACCCACTGATGGGTATTAGAAAATCTCCATGTTCTCTAGTTCCACTGATGGATAACACACTTACCGTGCTCTGTGGTGCCCACTGGAGGAGCTCTGAGCATTGTCTGGGTCTGGTCGATGAAGGCGAGGAAGAGCTCTCCACGTCCCAGTAAGTAAAAATCCTTTATGATCTTCAGGTGACTAAGCAGATCGGAGTCTTGCACAACTAAACTCCACAAGTGCTGAATAATACATGATTTTTTTCCCTTTAAATTATAGGATTATCAATCTGGGGACTGTTTCCTCATTGTTTTCCATCATCTTATATATACAAGATATCATAACCGGTACTGATCATGAGTGATTCATTACCTTGTGAGGTATAAACAACATTTCTCCCTGAGGAATCAGTCAGAAACTTAAATACCTCACAATCACTGTAAATCACTTTAATATTTTTTCTGTGTACTTAATTTATTTTATTGGCAAACTTTGACTTCAAGTGTTATTGAGGAGTATGTACTTATGTTCTTGATTTACAGGAAGCTTTTTCAAATTTGATTGTACCGTCAATTTTTCATGGAATAATATGATGGGAAAATTTAGCTTATTTTGAATTAAATTTGACAAGTTTTACTCGCAACACAATTCTGGTGTTACCTCAGCAACATAGGTCCTGATCTTGTCCACCATGGATTCAAACATCATCCCGTTGAATTCTTCCTGTTTGGACATTTCATACAGATCCTGGGCAAATTCATCTTCTTTGTTTTTCAGAATACCACCTACCAACAGTGTAACATCAGTCTTATGAAATACAATACAGGAAATCAAAATAGGAATCATTTACAGTAAATAACTGATTAATAATAATACAACGCCAAACAAAACAAAAAAAGATCATTCATTAATTTGGATCATTGATTAGTACTTGTTACAATATTGCATAATATACTTGGCATTTGTGTCACTCAAGGTATTTTGTTAATTGCACTGCATCAAATATAGAGTGTGAAAAAAAATGTGTTACCTCGTTTGAAAGCGTTAGGTTTCTTGTCACTTTCAAACATCTGGATGGACTCGCCAGTGAAGAGAATCTTGTTGGCAACTCGGACAGGGATGTAGACTGGCAGAAGGTTAGCCCTAAGTGAGAACTTACTACCCCCACTGCTGCTCTCCACTGCAGGCAGGGTCAGGGACAGGGCTCGCTGTAAGTAAAACACAAAAGATGTGTCACCAATTAAAATACAGACAACTTCTGATCTCAACTAGTCACCCTGGTCTGAATATGTTTTGTTTTTTACTCATTTTGGATCACATTTATAACATGTCCACAAGAAATGTTGTTATCAATTTGTTTAAACTACGTGACTTCAAACAAACTTGTAAAAATTAATATTAGTCACAACTTACGATGTTGACAATGTAACTGTCCTTTTTTCACCTTATTATAAAGGCAGGTTTGTGCACAAAAACGGAACAAATTTCCTCCAAATTTTTTATTTTTATTAAAATGATTTATTCTCTCGCAGGTAGTACACACACTGTTAAAAACCCATTGAAAATGAAAGTGTTATTTCATTTTTAAAATTGACGTACCTAATTGGTCCAGGAGCAATAAGGAGCCAATTACTTTTGGCTGTTGCCTATAAACAAACAAACACCTGTACTTGTGGTCTAGTGACAATGAGAATACCTCTGATTACCTGTAACTGTCGCCCTGTGACCCCCATTAGGCCCAGGTCATCTTCATCTTCTAGTGATGCTGCATTCTGGTTACTGTCTTCATCTGATGAATGCTGGATGAAGAACTCGAGGTATGGGTCCATCAGTACACCATGTAGTAGCCAGGAGCACAGCTGTTTGTACATCACAGCATGACACACATGTAGGATTCTACAAAACAAACGCTGGAATAAAGTTATACAGTATACTGTACTTGCAGTAAAACGGTGCTTAAAAACTGGCTTAAAGGAGGGAAACTATCAGAGATTTTAGGGTGTAATTGGGGCCTTATCCAAAGGTCCTTCCCCTAGAAAATTTCCATTTTATTTTCCCAAATCAATGCAAAAATAATAGATTTTCCCAAAATCAATGAGGGATAATTTTTCACTTTGTTCATGGATTAGTGATGTGATTTCATCAATGCTTCAGTGAATTGTTCAATCTCTAAAAGTTTGGTATATAAGTTTTATAGAACTAGAAGGCCGATGTCACTGCTGGAAACTTATTCTTAAAATACTATGAGACAGAAATTACATATCTAAGCATGATTATTTCACAGTACAAATAAAATTGTAGGAAAGTGATCATTTTACCTATGCATGGCCAGTTTGACGACAGGAAGCCCACACATTGAATTCTTATGAAGAATATCCAGAATGTAACAGCCATGAGCCTGAAAAAGAAACATGACATACCAGTATCTTATAATTGTTTGTACATTAAACATACATGTGTAAAAAATAGCTTATTTTAAACATTTAATGTAATATTAAATGTAATAAATAAGGGAAAGCTAAAATATAAACACAACATACCAGTATCTTAAAATTGTTTGTACATTAAAGAAATGAATAATTCAAACAACAAATTAGCTCATCGCAAATATTTAGTGTAATGAATAAGGAAAAGTTCTCTGATTCAGTATTACCTTGTGATTGCATATCTGCTCTACAACTGTGGCCAGGGCAGGAAACAGAAGATGATACTGAAAACAGAAAGAGATCGATTAAGATTACAAATTATTAAACTAATCTTGAAAGATTCATTTCAACATTGAAGCACAGATAAAAGCATGTCACCTTGATATTTCCTCACAAAGTATCCTATTCTTGAGCCATTTAAGTAAAAACTTCAAATTTACTAAAACTGAAGCAATTTTTTTTTAAATTTTATTGCTGGTTATCTCTGAACACAGGTTCTACTACATTAGATAGTTCATAGTTGCGATATCAAAAGCGGTCAGTGTCTTTAAGTAAAGCAACACTCGGTAGTCAAAACGTGACGAGGAGGAGGCTGACCTCTTGGAGTGAGCACAGAAGATGTGACATGGGTAAGTGAGGGTCCTGTAGTGTGTCCATCTCTAATCTGTGAAGGGCCTGGCGGTAGTCATCCAAAAGCTGGTCTAGGCCATTGCAAAATGACTTCAGGTATAGTCCATGGATACCCTCAATTCTACCACAACCTGGAAATAAAAACATGTGGTTTAACCAATAGAATGACTAGCCCAGTACTGTGGTACATATTCATTGTACTTTTAGGTAAAAATACATGATTAAATTTTGTCCTAAGTATGAATATATAACAGGCAACAAGGTATCAAGGAGCATTTCTAATCCTTCTGGTGACTATTGAATTGATAGGAACATCTTGATCCCCCAAGCACTTTCGTTAAAGAAGCAAAGCATAATGTTCAAGTTTGATCACTGATCAGCTTACGTTAACTGCAGTTATTGCTATACAATGATGTAATAAGGAAACCAACTTGCTATGGATAACAGTGACATTGACCTTCAGACCTAAAAGGCAACATCAAGCAAATAATCTTGGTAATTAAGGAAGCACTGTATGAGGTTTGCACCAACCATAAATTGACGTTTAGTCCAGACACCAATTTTAAGCTCTGTTTCAATACATATTATTTGGTCGGCCCTACCTCAACAGTATTAGAGATCGAGGTTCAACAAGGCAAGATACTTTTGAGTCAGCACAATCTGCCGTTTTTTTATCTGATAAAAAATAGCCGACCAGCGACCTTTAGCTCTTAATTATATCTGACTTCTGTGAGTAGGTTGACACATGGCCTTAAGCTTCTTCGTATGGTACATGGGCTCCATCAATGGTGATCAATGTTTATGCCCTCGAGGGTCCTAACTCAGAGGTTGGAAAAAGGGGTTATTTACAGTGATTAGTTGGAGGGGGGGGTTGTGATTTTTTGTGCAAGGTATATATAGATAAAAGATAAAAGTTGGCGTATATTTTAGAGTGTGATGAGGGCTTCAAGGGCTGTATAGGGTAAGTGTGCCCTGAAGTCCTCTAGTGTTGTGCATTGTACTGCTGCTATATGTGAAGGAGATCCCATTGTTATTGTGTGAGGAAAGATCTAGGGGGGAGTCGTGTGGCAGATATAAATCTTACTAAGGATTTAACAGGAGCATCAAACTTTGTGCTAGCGGGAAATTTCCTTTAACTCATCAGTGGTAGAACATTTGACTAGGCAATCTGGAATAGCAAGTACAATCACAAGCGGAAGCAAACAAACCCTCTTTCCGGTTACACATAAGTCCTGCATTAGGCCGTTTCAATAATGGAATTTGCACCAACAATACAGAAACTTTAATCAGACTTTAATAAAGACCGCAAATATTTAAATTATATGAAAGGAATACACGCTCTGGTGAGAGAGTGTAGATAATCCCTGTTTATAGAAAAAATTAACAGAAAGAATGGAATTTGCACGGATATTACACAAACATAAATGCAAATTATAATTGTACATTGTCATAGGATTACGGTCGCATTCTAGCTTTAAGTTAGAGGGAATTTCCCTTTGCTCAGTGGTAGAGCATCTGACTTATGGAACCTTATAGAGATCGCGGGTTAGATCTCCGGTGGGAGCACACTATTCTCTTCCCTGTTGTAACAGGAAAGAGAATAGGAAGAATACACTTTCTGGTGAGAGGGTGTAGAAAATCCCTGTTTATAGAAAAATGAAAAATAAAGTTCACTTGTTTTTTAGAAAATTTACCATCCTGTTTTAAACTTAAAGTTCCTCCATGCTTCTTAATGAATGCGTTGAAGTCTCTGTAATGAGTTCCAAGCTGACAAAGCTTGTTCAGTAAATCGATCTCCGAGGGACAAATGAATGGGACATCTGACAGCACCTGCAAATAATGAAATAGTTTAATAATCAACAAGTGCCGAAGTGTCATGACAGTAAATTGAGTAATATTGCATGACTGCATTTTTCTTTCAATCAATATCACAGTTTAGATAATTCAATCATGACAACTCATTAGCAACTTTCATACTGATATTACCTTAATTTCCCCGTTGTTATCGACGAAAAGGCCTCCAGAATGTCCAGAAAGTGCAAACAATATTTCATGAAGCATTTCAAACTTGGCAGAATATTTTGTTTGCCATTAATTCTCAACAGGTGGCACTACTAACAGGAAATGTTCAAATCACCTACTTCCTACTTAGATTATTCTGCGTCACAATATAGTTCCAGATTTAGTTGGGAAATTACTTTGATACTTGACAATCTATTGAATATATTGAACTTTTTCAAATTAAAGAATGCATGAAAACAATTCGTACAAAATATGTAAACGAAAGCCTTAAAAAAACATTATGACGATATATATTATTGCGAGATGTAATTCGGTCTTTTTCCGCCAAGTAGCCACGAGAAGTGCACGTTTTAACCCGCACAGCGAAAATGGTATTAATTTATTTTACAGATAAATAAGTTTTGTGATATAATATCGGTAGATAATTTTACATGCAGTGATTGAAACGTACTTGATGGTATAGCTTAAGTAGGAAATAAAGAACACAGTTGTTTAAATATCGCGGAAATAAAACGTTAATAGTTATACCACCGATATGGTAGCACGTGGACCAGTCACTTCGGCACATCTTATCCTTCCCTCAAAGTACAAATTTGCCGTCTTGTTTACACAAATCGTGTACTCGTGCCGTCTTGTTGATGATTGCACCAAGCAATCGGGTATTATTAATTGAATGAGAATCAATTCCTGGGCACAGGGTCTGGTGTCTGGGTTATTTCGGTCACAAATCGGTTATTCCAGTGGCAGTGCAATAATCATTGCAAGAATATTTTTACAAAACTACGTTTGTTCCATTATTAGAACCATTTAAAATGCTGTTATTCAGAAAGTACAACATATCTAGAAAATATGAAATGTACCAATAATGATGATAAGATTTGATGTCACCTTGCGTGTTTCAGGCTGCAAGACCGTTGATCAGCGTTTATGATAATAAGGGTGCCGGCACTGGCGTCAATGTCACCCTGCCAGCAGTGTTCAGAGCCCCCATCAGGCCAGACATAGTGACATTTGTGCACTCCGAAATGAGGAAGAACTCAAGGCAGCCATACGCTGTCAGCAAATATGCTGGCAAGTATATTTAGTTGTTTGATTACAAATAGCCGGGTTATCTGTATGTTTGAGAAAGAAATGTGGTGTGGCACTTCAATTTTCCATAGCTACTCTTTGTGAATAGTGATGACTTAATGAAGTTGCCAGATTAACATACAAGTCATAACTCCTCATGCATTTTTTACAAGTAGTGCATGGGTTTTAAATCTTGTAGACACCATGTCTTGCCCCACCCGTTAGCTAAAAAGTGCCTTATTTTCTCAAAATGACCAAACACTGGGAATTATATTTCCAATTTCAATACAAATAATGCTATATTTCCCAATCCATAAAGTAACGGGCTGTTACAAAATTTAGTTAACAAAAACACGGACATGGATTTAACAGAGTTTGTGGATATTGGATAAGTACTGCATGTATAGATGAAATCATGTAATTTAGTTGCAAAAGTCTATTGGATGTTTAATATACAAGTTGCATTTAATAATATACCACCTTCCTTTTTAGGGAAATTTTTTATCCATTTTCCAATTTAAATTAAAGGCCCATATTTCCCCAATCATCTTAAAATCATGTTCTCTGCACATTTTCGTAAACGCCACTACCAAAGAAATACACCAGTAAACCATGTATTTAAAAAGGCTTAGTTCTTCATAACAGAGTTATAAAGGAGGATTAGTTTTGCTTTCTTTGCATAGCGATGTTGACAAAATTGCGGCACATCAAGTCTGTTATGGCTGCTCTATTCTAGTTGTCATGCTTCGACGAAGTTGCCAGATCAACATACAAGTCATAACTCCTCATGCATTTTAAACAAGTAGTGCATGGGTTTTAAATCTTGTAGACACAATGTCTTACCCCACCTGTTAGTAGTTTTGCAAGAGGACAAGCTAGAAAATCATTCGATTAAAGTTAGTTAAATTACCTCTTGTATGATTCTAAAGCTCGAAATGTTTTTATTTAATGATGAAGGGAAAAAAGGAGATGGTTTGTGACTACAAAAAATAGAACATGCAGTGATTTTTTCCCAGTTTTACTGCTGAGTACATGCTGTTTCCCCTAGCTAAAAGTTCCTTATTTCCTCAAAATCACCAAACACTGAGAAATATATTCCCAATTTCAATACAAATAGTGCCACACTTTCCCAATTCATAAAGGAACAGGCTGTTATAAAATTTAGTTAACCAAAACACTGTTTTTGCATAGCGATGTTTACAAAATTGTGGCACATCAAGTCTGTTATGGCTGCTCTATTCTAGTTGTCATGCTTCGACGAAGTTGCCAGATCAACATACAAGTCATAACTCCTCATGCATTTTAAACAAGTAGTGCATGGGTTTTAAATCTTGTAGACACAATGTCTTACCCCACCTGTTAGTAGTTTTGCAAGAGGACAAGCTAGAAAATCATTCGATTAAAGTTAGTTAAATTACCTCTTGTATGATTCTAAAGCTCGAAATGTTTTTATTTAATGATGAAGGGAAATAAGGAGATGGTTTGTGACTACAAAAAATAGAACATGCAGTGATTTTTTCCCAGTTTTACTGCCGAGTACATGCTGTTTCCCCTAGCTAAAAGTTCCTTATTTCCTCAAAATCACCAAACACTGAGAAATATATTCCCAATTTCAATACAAATAGTGCCACACTTTCGCAGTTCATAAAGGAACAGGCTGTTGCAAAATTTAGTTAACCAAAACACTGTTTTTGCATAGCGATGTTGACAAAATTGTGGCACATCAAGTCTGTTATGGCTGCTCTATTCTAGTTGTCATGCTTCGACGAAGTTGCCAGATCAACATACAAGTCATAACTCCTCATGCATTTTATACATGTAGTGCATGGGTTTTAAATCTTGTAGACATAATTTCTTCCTGTAGCTTGCATGTCGCACACCGGCATATCCTTGATAGACTGAAGCTGTAAATAGGAAGCTAAACTCTAAAATCTAAGTAAAGCAATCCTAACCTACTTCTCCCATTTCCATAAGATGGCAAAGTATAAAATTCATTGTTGTTGTTTTTTGTGACTCGTAAGTACTATATAATGATTTTACTTTCATTTATGCTGCCACCTGTGCCAAGCATTTTGAAATTGGAAAATATGATCATAGAATGGATGGAATATGTTGAATTTTCCATTATAAACAAATATTGAAAAATCGGTGAAAGTTGGAGCACATCTGGTCTGTTATGGCCACTTTATAGTGGTCATGCTTCGACGATAGTGCCAGATTAATATACAAGTCATAACTCCTCATGCATTTTATGGTAGTGCATGAGTTTTAAATCTTGCAGACAGCATTAGTATTTATTAACCAATTCCAGCAAAATTTCTAAGATTATTGATAAATATACATGAATTATGGTAATTCTTGTTCAGGTCACCAAACATCTGCTGAGTCCTGGGGAACTGGACGTGCTGTGGCTCGTATCCCCCGTGTACGTGGAGGTGGTACCCACAGGTCTGGCCAGGGAGCCTTCGGTAACATGTGTCGTGGAGGACGTATGTTTGCACCAACCAAGACCTGGCGTAGGTGGCATCGCAAGATCAACATCAACCAGAGGCGTTATGCTCTGTGTTCAGCCATTGCTGCCACAGGAATCCCAGCCTTGGTGATGTCCAAAGGTACATCAGCATTTCAGGCTTGCTGCATTAGCAAACATTTTTAAATTTTCCACATGATTCATTTTGACATTAATAAGGTCAAATTCTGGTTCTTTTGCCCACATTATATGCTGTTAAATATATAACTAGTTTTGATTATCATCAAAATGAAACCAATAAAACACATGCCATTTTTCTCTTCTGCTCCCTGTAAGTTCCATAATTTCATTGTAAAAACAGTGTTCAATCCAATTTCATAAAATAGTAAGTATCTGCAACACACTGATGTGTTATCAAGTAGCAACCCTGTTCAGAACATGTTTTTATGGGATGATCTTCCTTTGGTCTGTTTTTTTGAGACATCTTTGATTATACAGGGCATACGGACATAACATTTAAAATGATCCAGATAATGTTGAAGCGAGAAAATTTTATTTTATATAGAAATTACATTCCATAATATGTGGATTTTTGACAGGCCACAGAATAGAAGAATTACAGGAAGTACCTTTGGTGGTCTGTGATAAGGTCCAGGAATTTAAAAAGACAAAGGAGGCTGTCAGTTTGTTGAAGACTCTAAAAGCATGGAACGACATTCAGAAGGTGAACAAGTCGAGAATTTACAGTCAAAAATGTTAAGAATGGATATTAAGTTTATGCGATTTAAAGAACTTGCCTAAATTATGATTATAAACAATAAGAAAAAGATAATCAAAGGGGTAAGGACAGCACAGTTGGTCCAATCGATTCAATACTTTATTTGAACCTATGTAATATGAAATATTGAGTTTTGTTGTCCTTGCTCCTTACATTTTCATGTCCTACTTCGAGGACTCTCGTATACTTAAAGTAAGCGAGAGCAGAATTAACCTGCATTTCTAGTTATCAACAACTTCTAAGGATGTTTCTCCAGTCCCAGGTAATAACAAAAAGGGGAAATGTTTTAAAACAATACCGAAGATTTGATAAGGTAATTACCGAGATGGGTTGTTACTGTACATAAAATAACCAGTTATAATTCATTTGTAGGTTTACAACTCCAAACGCTTCAGAGCAGGAAAAGGTAAAATGAGGAATAGGCGCCGTATCATGCGAAGAGGCCCCCTGGTTATTTATAAAGAGGATAATGGCATATCCAAAGCATTCAGAAATATTCCAGGTTTGTAACAAGTTGTGGTTTATATCAGTTTAACAGTTTAGGTGATCTCATGTCTGGACAAGTTGAAACCAGTTACATACATTTATAGAAGAAGATAATGGGATTTAAGCATTTCTGCAAATCACAAATGATTTTGAGAACCAAAAATTATAATACATTTTCATATTTTTGTTTTCTCAGTTCTACAGCAGGTATCTGTGATGATAAATTAAGCATTAAAACAATTGTTTTGCTCCAATCGTTCATAATTTGTTGTCAAAATGCGCACACAAGCTCATTACATGTTGTCCACTGATTTTGGGTGAAGCAATAGTACTGGTTAGTTTAAAAACATGATGATATAGTAATATATATATTTCAAGCAAAATCCAAAACAATATTTGATATCGCTCGCTGATCAAGGCATATCCCAAGACATTTTTGAAAATTTCGATAAAGCTTGCGATTTCATTCAGGCCCTGAAATGCGTTTTTGTCTTGGCTCTTCACATTCTTATTGTCTTGTGACTTGAAATTAGTAAAGTTGATGCTCGATGATAACCGACGGGGCATGACTGAAGCTATTTTAAAAAAACATGTTCATACAGATTTTAAATAGCTTGTTATTAACAGGTCTTGTGAAGTGCATCAATAAATGCATATTAGTTTTATTTGGTGCAGTTTTTTATTGTTTTTCTGTTTGGGATTCTTGAAATTTCAAATGCATAAAATTGATTCCACCAAATAATGCGTTGCCCTATGGTCTGTTTTTGAGATCACTCAAAGAACCAATATATAACCAGCAGGTCTGAATCGATTTTCAAAAATAAGGTTGAGGCTTAAATGATAATAAATGCATTGTAAACTGCATATTAAAATGCAATTTGTCATTACATGACATTTTAATTGCTAAAAATTGGAAATTGATACAGATAATGCTACAAAATGATGAGCTGCCTTTTGGTCCGTGTTTTTGAGATCGGTAGATCACTCAATGATATGACAAGGCATGTCTGAAGCTATTAAAAATAAATCGAGGTTGAAACATGTATTTTAATTAAATATATTTTAAATAAATTTCTTGATTAATTCCATTTCTAAAATTTTAATATAGTAATAAAAAAAATGTTTTCTAAATTTCTGAAAATTTCTCCATAACTTTACATGGAATTGAAACTACTTTCATTGTACAATTGGGGCTTGAAAAGTTGAGCATAATTATTTTTTGTCTTGGCTGGACTTTTATTGCGTAGGTCAAATAGTTCTTGAAAAATAATACAGATAATGCTAGCAAATGATGAGCTGCCTTTTGGTCCGTGTTTTTGAGATCAGTAGATCACTCAATGATATGTGGCAAGGCATGTCTGAAGCTAAAAAAAAATAGAGGTTGAAGCATATATTTTATATGTAATATTATTTATTGTTTTTGATTATTTCCATTACTAAAATTTTAATATAGTAATAAAAAAAATCTATTGTTTTCTAAATTTCTGAAAATTTCTCCATAACTTCACATGGAATTTAAACTAGTTTCATTGTACAATTGGGGCTTGACATTTATTGCGTAGGTCAAATAGTTCTTGAAAAAATATCGCAGTCGTGCTAGCAAATGATGAGCTGCCTTTTGGTCCGTGTTTTTGAGATCAGTAGATCACTCGGTGATATGTGGCGAGGCATGTCTGAAGCTATTAAAAATAAATAGAGGTTGAAGCATATATCTTAAATGTAATATTATTTATTGTTTTTGTTTCTAAAATTTTTATATAGTAATAAAAAATATCTATTGTTTTCTAAATTTCTGAAAATTTCTCCATAACCTCACAGAATTTTAAATAGTTTCATTGTATAATCAAATTCTGTCTTGGCTTGATATTTATTGGGTAGGTAAAATAGTTCTTGAAAAATAATGCAGTCGTGCTAGCAAATGATGAGCTGCCTTTTGGTCCGTGTTTTTGAGATCGGTAGATCACTCAATGATATGTGGCGAGGCATGTCTGAAGCTATTAAAAACAAAGAGGTTGAAGCATATATTTTGAATGTAATATTATTTATTGTTTTTAATTATTTCCATTTCTAAAATTTTAATGTAGTAATAAAAAAAATCTATTTCTAAACTTCTGAAAATTTCTCCATAACTTCACATGGAATTTAAACTAGTTTCATTGTACAATTGGGGTTTGAAAAGTGAGCATAAACAAATTTTGTCTTGGCTGGACATTCATTGCATCGGTCAATAGTTCTCGAAAATTAATGTAGTCGTGCTACCAAATGATGAGCTGCCTTTTGGTCCGTGTTTTTGAGATCGGTAGATTGCTCAATGATATGTGGCGAGGCATGTCTGAAGCTATTGAAAGTATGTTTAGGTTAAAGGAAATATTTTTTTAGTGTATTATTATTTATTTTTCTTGTTATTTCTATTTCTCCATAATTTTAAATGGAATTTAAACTAGTTTCATTGTACTTGAAAACTAAATATATTCAGTTTTTGTCTTCGCTGGACATTTAAGTTATGTGGGCCAAGTGGTTTTTGATCAATAATACAGATACTGCTATCAAATGATGAGCTGCCTTTTGGTCCGTGTTTTTGAGATCGGTAGATCACTCAATGATATGACAAGGCATGTCTGAAGCTAATAAAAATAAATTGAGGTTGAAGCCAATACTTGTATTGTTTCTTATTTTACGTGATTATTTACATTTCTTTATGTTAACCTGGTATTTCAAAGATCAGGGTTTGAAGATTTCTCCACAACTTTTGTTTACTTTATATGAAATTAAAATTTCCCATGAGAAACTGATGTTTTATGCTTCCTGCACTCCTTATATGTTTTGCACTCTTTTCTTCCAGGTATTACCCTCATAAATGTTTCACGTCTGAATCTTCTAAAAATTGCACCTGGTGGCCATGTTGGACGTTTCTGTATTTGGACAGAGGGTGCATTCAGACAATTGGATGAATTATACAAATTTAAGTAAGTATTGCAAAAGATTAATGTGTTGCTTTTGCTCTAAAAATATTCAGACAATTGGATGATTTAAAGATTACTGTGTTGCTTTTACTCCAAAAATATCACTTTAATACCTATTTGACATTGGTTTCCTTGCATTTCTTTCCAATAATGCATGCATAATATTGAATTGTTCATGTCCTGTGACGAATATTTATCAAAATTAAGAGGTTTCCATTGAAAATGTGATAAATTGTAAATGTCTTGTTGCAGCAATGAATTCACAAATGTTTTACCTTTTTCTCCTCAGAATTCCTGACCAGAAAATGGTTAATACTGATCTTGGAAAACTTTTAACATCAGATGCTATCCAGTGTGCTATAAGAGCTCCAAAGTAAGTGAACACAGTTCAATCTTGTTTGGCTTTTGAATAATTATATATAAAAACTGAAAAGCCAATTAATTACTCAATATTTGTTGATAAAAAGATAAGAAAATGAAAGGTTTTTTTACCGTCTATATTACTTCTTTGACCCATATATATATATATATATATATATAGCGATATATATATATACATGTACTCGTGTGTCAATATTTGTAGATATTGCAGTTTACAAACACATTTTCCTTATATATGTTATAATTTTCAAATTATTTCTTTACAGACGTCAAATGAAGAGGATTACCAGAAATAGAGTAAGTTTTGTCGTAAAATGTTCGATCAAAATAAGCTTATCAATCTCCCTCCTCCTTCGACTTCGTTTCCATTCTTTGATGTCAAGAGACCCTTAATGCCAAAGTTCTCTTAAATAGTTTATTTCATCGAAATACCTGAATTATTGAATGTTTTCACTACAAAGAGGCAGGAGTTGAAAAATAATAATATTGTGAAAATAAAGGTTCGCACTAAAACTATCTTTGTCGATAATATATAAACCATAGAACATTTACACCTTGTTTATTCAAATGTCGTCAAAAAATTACCTTGGAGATGTTAACATTTCAAAATGTAAACTCATCAGAGTGACCTGAAACAAAATTGATCAATGTTACATACAAACCAGAACGTTTCCAATAACCTACATTTTCGTTTTCCTGTTGCAGATGAAGCCAAGGAAGTTTTTACCTGATAATATGCCTAAGAGTAAGAAGGTCAAAGCTGCTGCTGCCGCTGCCAGAGCAAAATCTGGTCCTGCCAAGGGAAAACCAGTAGTAGCCAAGGGCAAGGGAAAGGCAAAGAAGTAGAGGCCTTTTTGTCTTTTCATAAAAAATATAATGAACAGTTGGAATAAACACCATGCATGGACAGCCTGTTTGTGGACACCATTGTGAGCACAGCGGCAGACCAACACGTTCTCCATTAAAAGTTACAGATGTTATCAATGTGTTGATTTGTTTATTGAAGTGGGTTTTTTCTAAAACTATCTTAGATTATCTAATTTTAATTCATGAAGTTCAACCATCTTCTTGTGGATTCACAAACTTAATTTTATGTGTACATTTTCAAAAGAAATGCCCATCACATCATTCATTACATTCCCTGCTTCCTTAAGTAGCTTTTGGCAACTTCTAACATTTTCTATTTTGAAAGAAAATAATAATTTATTTTGCTAATTTGATTTTGCTTCTAAATAACTTTTAAAGATTTAGATCTACGGGGCGAGATGTCGGAAAGTTAACTAGGTAAACGCATGACCAATTATCTAAAACTTCAAAACATTTCAATATAAATCTGAATAGTCTGCAAAAATGTTTTACATTGCCTTATTACTCAGATGCATGCCATTTTACATATTTATATTGAATAATTTACTAGCTCCTTGGATGAAATTTGATATTCACGTATGCAATAAACTGCTGTGACTAGTCATAGACTGAACATAAAGGTAGAGTTACAGCACTTAGTGTAGCAAAACTAAGAAGCGTTCCAGTTTTAAATCAACTCTAATGGCGTTCAACCTATACAAAGGAAATGGTTTGATAGTCGTTTTGCTGTTTAGTACTGTACCTGTATTGCTGGTCATTCCTTTTACATCTTTCAATTTCAAAATGGGCTAAACATCACGTCAAGGTTATGTAGCTGAATTATGTCTATTGGTCAACTGTAGTTGTACAGCCATCAGGTGGTCAATAGAGATTCCCAGGTCTCCAGCCTGTACCTTCAATTATCACTAATTGATCAGATCTCCATTCCTCTTTAGATGATCGACCAGTTAGCTTCCTGTCCTTTCATCAACCACAACACCATTCATATTTTGTTTCACAATAACTCCTTGTTCTCAACACCCTGTCTTCAGTTTAATTCTGTTCTCACGATTACAATTTCTAATTACATAACACACTGTCTTCAAATCTTTCTATTTCACACTGTCATATTTGAAAGATCAATAACTGTGTAAGGTATATAATGTGCCTAGACAAATCTTGTCTTTACGATCTATAAAGGGTAACGGGTCCAGTTGGGTCTCTTGTTCAACTTTCTACGGATATCACAATGAAAGTGTTTAAAGAAAACTATCGAAGATACCAAAAAAATCACAATTCATAACTAGAAATTGATGACGACCAGGACAAAATATGATAAACAGACATTTTGACGTTATAGTATGAAGGTTGAGAATCTTCCATCACAACATCCCGCCATGTTAATCTAGGTTAAATCCAAGTTATGTTGCGTACTCCTAGTGAGACAACAAACAAAAAGGCATTCTCGCCTTCATATCCCAAAAAGAAGTAACATATTTCCCAAAGACACCATAAAGGCGACCATAAATTTGTCCGTACTCTTCATCAACCTGTATCTTTGGAAACCATGTGTAGTTAGTTTGTACATTAGCAGCCGATATATTCCTATCACGAAAATCTTATTATTCAAAACAAATTTTTGACTACCAAATCAACTGCGACATGTAAACACCATAGGCTTGGGAAGCAGAGATGTCAATATCAAGAAAGAGGAAGTTGACCATTCGAAAATCGACAGCTTAGTAGAAGCCGTCTCAGTTGGTCATGTTGCAAGTAAAATCGAGGTAAGCGATTGACTAGATAGGGATTGTTTACCAGCCCTCATATTAAAGCAAAAACAAATTGGCCAGAAGAGGGGCACAAAGTGTTCCCATGGAAATGCCAAAGGAAAATCTTGTCGCCAAACTCAACAAAAATAATTGTCCACCAGAATTCAATCCTGGTGATTTTTTATGATTTCATTCTCTATCGTTATAAAAAAATCTCTGATTTAGATAGAGTTCCTACATGAATTAGGTACTAGTGAGCTTATATGCCATGTTGAAACGTCTTCGTCCTTGCGTCAACTCTTTTTTTGGCAAAGGGGGACCCAATATTTTTCAAATGTTGGGTTTGCCCCTCACTCCTTTGCGGTAGAAGGCAGTGCCCATAAAAGGAAATAAAGATAATCTTAAAAATCCTTTCTACTCCATAAACAGATGGATATTTAATCTAACCAAACTGGAAAAAAACAGATCAGTCTGTAAAGCAATGGTTCTTCAGGAACGGAGAGTATTTTAATCAAATTTAATTCAGAGCATCCTTGAGCAAATGGGGCTCAAATTTGTATAAACAGAAGTTGCCGACCCACAATAGCACTTCAGAATGAAGTATCCACACTCGCACATCTATGCTTCCAAGATTTGCCTTTCCGTTGATCCGTCTCTATAGCTGGGGGCTTAATTTAGCTCACTGGTCAAACCAAGGAGAGTGATGGCATCCCCACCCTACAACTATATATACATTTGTCTGTCATAAAGAGAATATAATACATACATGCTTCTAGGAAAGGCCCCAGTTTTCATCCCTGCCTCCTTGGCTCTTCATGATACGGCATACAGATTGTTGGGGGCTTTCGGCATGGTATTTCAGTGAGATAGCACTATAAAGTCGGCATCAGACCCGCGCTATCACAAGAAGGCAGGCACATCAACATACCCTGGCTCCTGCATACACACACGCAAGCACGCGTACACTAAAGCACATGGAGGCACGTCCTTATTAAATGACCTTAACTGTTAATAGGACGTTAAACAAAAGTAAACCCTGTACGAGGCTGTCCTGCACAGAGAGCATACACTAGATATAACATGGCAACATTTGAAATCTTTCTCTTAAACTGTATACGCATCAACAAATATTTAAACCATATATAATATGAAGCATCCTTGGTCTCTGACCTGGGAAGCAATTGTTGTATAGGAAGAATAGCGCTCCCCTAAAGGCTGGGATCAGCTAGAACGGGGGGAATTAGGGTGTTTAAGTTTTTGAAAGCCTTCTTTCCAGGAAAGATTGAAATATATACTAAACAAATATACTGCAAACCATTCCTAGGACATTAAGGGAATCAAATGTAAAATGATAAAGGGTGCAGCTGCTGAGAGGCAGTCCCAGACTAGTTGTCGTTTTATACGTTTTTATTTTTATTTAGTGATATTTTTTTAATATTTTGACACACAGTTTATATTCAGGTGAGCGGAACAGACCAGCTTTGTTGTGCTTTTTACAAAATATTATTAATATCGTACAACCATATTTATTTCGCCTTCGTTGGAAAAGAGCTGTCACAACACGAGAACGAAGGCGTTAAACATTTAGTTTGGCATGACGTATGGTAGTGTTAACAGTTGAAAAGTGAAAAAAAAATGAATTCATCAAAATCCACTTAAATTACGACTTTAATCCTTCATTACTGTATGTATTAGCACTGGGACCTAAGAATTTGTTCAAGCTATATTTGGACCTAAACTAAGGTGTTCAGAGTAATGTTTATAATCATCGGGGTTGGCATTTTACCGAAAGTCGATCTAAAACCCCTAGAAAATGTATATTACTCTAAACATTTTAGTTAAGGTCCAAATATAGCTGTAACAAATTATCAGGTCTCTGTGTTTATTAGTATGGGCCTCTTTAGTTATCAAGCAATCTTTGTTTACTTTGTAGTGTTTAAAAAAAAACAAAATTACATATTTAACTTATTAAATGCTTCGTCTTCATACACAACTACGTTGAACAAACTATCATGCAGATTGTGTGGTTTGGACATCGAAGTCAAGAAATGTAGATCTTGTGTTTCGCCTTTTGTCCGTCGTTGTCCGTCGTCCGTCGTGCGTCCGTAAACAGTTTGTATTTTCGACTTCTTCTCCAAAACCCCTTAACCAATTTCGATGAAATTTTGCAGGGACCTTCCATGGACAAAGGTCAACAAAAATAGTGGCCGGTTTAGTCCTAAGCCCCCAGGGGCCTGAGGGGCGGGGCCAAAAAGGGTCAAATTGACTAACATTTCAAAAATCTTCTTCTCAAGATCCAGATATGGTAGAATCAAATACTCTTCATATATGGAAGGGTCTTAAGGTGCTTTACCAAAATTGTGAATTTCTTGACCCTTGGGTCTCACGTTGCCCCCTGGGGAGGGGGTAAACTTTACTATAGTTTATATAGGGAAATGACATTTTGGACCAACATTTGTTTAATTTCCATTGGAAGTAATTCAATTTGGGTTAGCATTATCAGTATTAGGTAGCAGTTTGATAATAAGCACATATGAGCCCTGACTGACCCCCAGGGGCTGATGGGTGGGGCCAAAAAGGGTCGAATTTACTGAAATTTCAAAAATCTTGTTCTTAAGACCCAGATATGGTAGTATCAAATACTCTTCATAGATGGAAGGGTCTTAAGGTTTATGACCCTAGGGTCTCACGTTTACCCCCTGGGGAAGGATGGGGGGGGGCAAATTTATTTAGGTTTTTAATGGCAAATGATACTTTGAATATTACATGTTAATAACTTGATTGGAATAATAACCTTGAGCTGACAGTTTGATACTTTGAAAGTTTTGAGCCAGCCCTACCCCCAAGGGCTGTAGGGTGTGGGCTCAAAGGAGTCAGTGTACTAAAATTTCTTCATTTTCCTTGTTTAGAATCAGAGGTGCTAGTTTCAAATACTTTTTAGTCTGAAATATGTATGCTAGATATTGAATAAGGTGGTTTTATTGTTTTTTGTCACTTTGAATAATATTTCTGTTCATGTTAAAAACAAAATCAACTCTCTGTATAAATATATCAGGTGACTGTTAAGGCCCATGGGCCTCTTGTCTAATTAGGACTTCAAGCTGCTACATCTTTGAATGATAGACCTTACATATCTGACCCTCAGGGAGCCGAACATTTGTAAATATTGGCATGTTTAGGCCTTTCCTGACGTGTAAAGAGTAATATTAGACGTTATTGGGATTAGGATTAAACGTCGGTAAAACGCCACCTCTCAATGAAATACCGCCCAGAGTTGATCTACACCCCTAAAACATCTAATGTTACTCTACGCATCACGATAGATGCTAGCTGTAGCCCATTCTCGGGGCCCTGTAATTTGACCA